TTTAGGGTTTAGGGTTTAGGGTTTAGGGTGGCTTCCGCCCTTCTTAAGGCTATTCAGGGAAAATAGCCAAATCAAGGCTGTTTAAGGGGGGCACCTAGGGGGGGGGGGGGGGGGGGTAGGAGGGAACCCATTAAGTCCTAGAGCCGCCAATTTGTTAGAGCCTTGGGCAAAACAAAACGTAAGCGGAAACACAAGTCGAAGTCACTAAAAGAGAGGAGTCAAACTCAAAGCCCCCATCCAGAAATCTCCCTGGAAACTGCATTTCCCTAAGCCGTCCCTAATTCCTAAACCCTAATTAACCCTAAACATCAACTCTCGCAGCCCTAAAACAGAACCCTAGCTCCCTAGATTCCCAACCCCAGTATCACGCACATGGGCAATTCTCGAAATTAGGGTCCTTTTGGGGGGGGGGGGGGGGGTCCTCTTTATCAGGTGCGATTGTAGAGACCCAGCCATATATACATATACGTAAACATATATGTATACCACGACCGGCACAGAATATCTACACGACTAGAACTGAGAAGAGCAATAGAGAAGAAAAAGCAACATAAGAGAAACAATAGGAAGAACAATAACTAACGATTAAAGAAAAACAAGAAAAGAGAAGAAGCGAAGAAGACGAACTAGCTGTTCCTTAAGGCACAGAGCCAGCAACTTGACGACTACTGTAGGGATGATGTGGGGCTGGGCACTCCGGGGATTTTTCTCTGGGGCTTCGGACAGGGATTCTCGCGGAATGTTCGTTGGTAGGATTTGGGGTTTAGGGTTAGGGTTTAGGGTTTAGGGTTTAGGGTTCAGGGTTTAGGGTTTAGGGTTTAGGATTTAGGGTTTAGAGTTGAGGGTTGAGGGTTGAGGGTACTCTGTGGGATTCAGGAGGCCAAGGACCAGCCCAGGACCAGGAGACCCGGGCGAAGAGAACAGCCGATCCAAAAGCTGACAAGCCCACACCCCCAGAGCGTAGGGTTTAGGTTTGGGGTTTAGGGTTTAGGGTTTAGGGTTTAGGGTTTAGGGTTTAGGGTTTAGGGTTTAGGGTTTCGGGTTTATGGTTTGGGGTTTAGGTTTGGAGTTTAGGGTTTAGGTTTGGGGTTCAGGGTCCAGGGTTTAGGGTTTAGGGTGGAGGGGCTGAGAGCTTGAGGGGTGTAGGGTTTAGGGGTTAGGGTGCAGAGGTCTAGGGTTTAAAAGGGTTGCGGGTTTTGGGGGTTTAGGGGCTTGGGGTGAGGGGTGAGGGGTTTCGGGCTCAAAGGGTTTATGATTTAGGGCTTATGGTTTGTAGGGGTTTAGGGTTGAGGGGGTTGGGTTTGGGGGTTAAGGAGGTCGGGGTTCAGGGTTTAGGGCTTAGGGCTTAGGGCTTAGGGTTTAGGGTTTAGGGTTTAGGGTTTCGGGTTTCGGGTTTAGTGTTTAGGGTTGAGGGTTTAGGGTTTAGAAGGGGACCGCCCTCAAATCCCAGCCTCGGAGAGGTTGTCCTCGGCATCGGGCTCCGCGTCCTCGGCAGGCTCCTGCAGCTGGGGACTGGGCTTCATCTTCTGTTTGTGGGTAGGGTTTAGGGTTTAGGGTTTAGGGTTTAGGGTTTAGGGTTTAGGGTTTAGGGTTTAGGGTTTAGGGTTTAGGGTTTAGGGTTTAGGGTTTAGGGGTTTAGGGTTTAGGGTTTAGGGTTTAGGGTTTAGGGTTTAGGGTTTAGGGTTTAGGGTTTAGGGTTTAGGGTTTAGGGTTTAGGGTTTAGGGTTTAGGGTTTAGGGTTTAGGCTTTAGGCTTTAGGGTTTAGCGTTTAGGGTTTGGGGTTTGGGGTTTAGGGTTTAGTGTTTTAGGCTATCTCCTTTCCAGGGGGCTAGGGTTTCAATTTGAAGCCCTGAGCCTAAACCCCAACAGGCACCAGGCTCGATGCTGCACGGATTTTCGGGTTGAGGGTTTGAGCGTGCCTAAACCCTAAACCCCAAACCCCAAACCGAAACCCTAAACCCTAAACCCGAAACCCTAAACCCCAAACCCGAAACCCTAAACCCGAAACCCTAAACCCGAAACCCTAAACCCGAAACCCTAAACCCGAAACCCTAAACCCTAAACCCTAGACCCTAAACCGGCTGTTGGAGCGCTCCGGGCACGAGCGAACGCTAACGGCGCAGATGCGGCCGTTGTCGGTCTGACCTGGGCTGGGGCGCGAGCTCCGGAAGGTTTAGGGTTTAGGGTTTAGGATTTAGGGTTTAGGGTTTGTTTAGGGTTTATTTAGGGTTTAGGGTTTAGGGTTTAGGGTTTAGGGTTTAGGGTTTGGGGTTTGGGGTTTAGGTTTTTTAGGGTTTACGGTTTAGGGTTTAGGGTTGCTGGACAGAAGGGTCTCAGTCTTCCGCCTTTCTTGGGGCAAGCATGTCTCTTTCCATCGCGTGGCGTTCAAAGAGCCCCAAACCCGAAAAGCCTAGACCCTTAAACCGTGAACCCGTAAACCCCTGAAGCCCTAAACCCCTAAACCCCCCTAGTCCCTTAAACCCCCGAAACCCCCCTAGTCCCTTAAAGCCCTGAACCGCTGAACCCCTAAACCCCCAACCCGAAACCCCCTAAACCCTCAACCCTAAACCCTCAACCCTCAACCCTGAACCCTAAACCCTAAACTTCAAACCCTAAACCCTAAACCCTAAACCCTGAACCCTAAACCCTAAACCCTAAACCCTAAACCTCAAACCCTAAACCCTAAATATAACCCTAAGCCTTAATCCAGAACCCTAGAGCCGAGAGCTTTCACCGAACGCTCCCCAAGCTGAGTTTAAGGCCCAGGTGGTAGGAGACGAAGTCTTCCGCCTGCTCTTCGGAGCTTACCCAAAGGAACACTTATATAAAGGGGTGGAGGGTCTAGGGTCCGGGTCTAGTTTCTGGGGTCTAGTCTAGGGTTTAGGGTTTAGGATCCAGGTACTTTTATTTAAGGGTGTACGGCTCTTGCCTTATAAAGGCATTAAGTTTGAGGTTTTGGCCCGAAAGCCCACACCTCTTCCCCCTCCCTCAGCCTACCTCTCCACCCTAAAGCAGGTTCATGAGCTGGGGTTTCACCCTCAACACTCAACCCTCAACCCTCAACTCTAAACCCTAAACCTATAAGGGTTCTAGGGAGTAGGGTTTTTGGGCTGAGGGTGTTGGGTTTGGGGAAAAGGCTTGGCTTTCTGGGCTTCTTGGGATTTACCGGCTTTTATAGGGTTTAACAGGGTCTTAGCGCTACATGTAGGTTTGCTGGGATTTATAAGGTTGCGGGATGCGCTCGCCGTCGTGTGGGGCACACGGCTCACCCTAAACCCTAAACCCTAAACCCTAAACCCTAAACTCTAAACCCTAAACACACGGCTCAGGGTGCCTGGAGTGCCGCGAAGACCTCGGCGGCCGCAGCGTCCTGGAGCGACTGCGCTTCAGTCATGGAAAGCCCACCACAACACCCCACCATCCCTGGAAGCCTATGAAGCCTATGAAGCCTATGAAGCCTATGAAGCCTATGAAGCCTATGAAGCCTATGAACCCTATCAACCACAGGCATAGGGAAAACCGCCCGATGAACTCTGTGAACCCTATGGCCTTCAAGGTCTAGAAGACTAAGCTTGGGAGAGGGCCCCACTCAGGTTTAGGGTTTAGGGTTTTCCTAGAGCATAGAACCCCACAAACATGAAGGGTTGTGGGTTCAGGGCTTCGATGGCACCCGCGTCTCGAGCTCACACAGAAAGCTGGTCACGTGCAACTGCTGGCCTACACTACTTTGTATGTTTTCTGGTTTAGGACTCAGTGCCAAAAAAGTGCCCTAAACCCTGAACTCTAAACCCTAAACCCTGAACTCTAAAGCCTGCGTACCCTAAACGCTACGTACATGTCTAGGCGCGTCCTCTGCTTTCTCGGCCTCACCTGCGGCAAACGTCCGTCACCATATGGGGATTCAGGGTTCAGGGCACAGGGCTTAACGCGCTGGAATGGGTGGTTTCGGGGTAAGCGTCTACATTCCTGTTTAGGGACTAGGTGTGGGCAACATTGGTGTGTATTCAGGCTTAGGGCTTAGCTGGGAGAGAAGGAGAGAGAGAGAGAGAGAGAGAGAGAGAGAGAGAGACAGAGAGAGAGAGAGAGAGTGAGAAAGATAAAAAGAAGATGTCTAGATATATACATCTCGCTTTGTATACTATATATATATATCATCATTGTAGGAGTACTTGCACAAGGCTTTAGGGACCGGGTGCAGGGCTTGGTCATCCAAACTCATCCCAATGCCGTACTGTGCGAAGGGGAAACTCCGAGCAAGCAGCAGGGAGGAGCCTTCCGTCACGATCTGATTCCGGTGCACAAAGACGTCCTGGCAGCCGCAAGGACAGATGGGGGGTTTACGAAAGATAGGCGGCCCCCCATCTATAGTAGAAGCCCCTTAGAATACCTTGGGGACTAAATGAACCCTAAAAGGGTTTATGGTTCATATACCTTAATAGGAATTTTAGTACTCAGGGTATATGACCCCAAGTTTAGGGTTCATTTCGTCCCTAAGGTATAAGGACCCCAAGAAAGGGGTGCCCCGTAATGTTGTAAACGCCCCATATGAGAAGGGGATTGGGAGCCCGCAGGTGTCTGGCGCTGAAGGGTCGGTTTAGGGTTTAGGGTTTAGGGTTTAGGATTTAGGATTTAGGGTTTAGGGTTTAGGGTTTAGGGTTTAGGGGTCAGGGTTTAGGGTTTAGGGGGTCAGGGTTTAGGGTTTAGGGTTTAGGGTTTAGGGTTTAGGGTTGAGGGTTTAGGGTTTAGGGTTTAGGGGATCGTTTTGCCAAAGCCCCCTGGGCGCTTGCAAAGGTCCGGGCGTGCAGACCGAGCCGTTGAATCACGTGAAGGTCACGTTCCACGGCGGCACACAGCCCTAGAGAGCCCGAAGCCTGACTGTACAGTGGCTACCCCAACAATGGGCAAAAATTGCCGCTTGACTGGCCTTTGAAGCGAAGGCGCGAAGAGAGCCGGACTACATTGTAACAAGACAGGTACCTAGGTGCCTCTCACGCAAGGGCTCAGTCCAACTCCTCTGCTAAGCCTTCGCGAGGGCCGCTCCCAGCCGACACTGCAGTTGAGAGCTGCATGTTCATCTTACCTGCCATGTTCATCTTTCCAGCCAAGTACCTGGGCATGGGCGTAGGGACGGGTGTAGTTGGAGCAGGGACTCACTTAAGAGCTGTAATCCTCAAAGCTTCTACAAAAATGTCATTTACAGGAACCCTCAACCATAAATCCCTAAACCGGCTTTTCACGCGCAAGCCTAGACCCAAGAGTAATCTGGGAATAAAAAGGGTGCCCTTTTTGATTTATGACTATAGGGGCTTACAAGGAAGCCTGCACTCCAAAAACTAGGGAAATAAGGGCCTACTCTGGGTCCTAGTAACTCTAAACCGTAAACCCTAAACTCAGAACCCTAAAACAAGGGGATTACAGGGCCCACCCTGGTCCTAGAAACTCCTAGACAGCCCCACCGGTTTGGCATAACTTTGAGCCCTGACCTTAAACCCCAAACCTAAACCCTAAACCCTACACCCTAGCGAGAGAGAGAGAGAGCGGGAGCGGGAGCGGGAGCGGGAGAGGGCGAGGGAGAGGGAGAGCTGTAATCCCTCTAAGCCCTAAGGCCCAGCCGCACGGCCCTTTTGGAGTTGTTTTGGGGTTTCCGAAAAATCGTCCCTCATACTTGTTTGGTTTGGGGGTTGGAGGGGGGTGGGGGGTAGTGGGGGCATCCCCGTAAAGAAACTAATTCGTAAGCCAGAACCGCCCCAAACCCAAACGTAGACCCCAAACAGTGAGAGACCATGTGAACCCCGAGTCAACAAGCGACGGCAGTGTCCCATTTCGCAAGCCCAGACGTGATCACGAGCCCCCCCCCCTCCCCCTCCCCGTACACCCCTACCCCAAATGTTTCGGGTTTAGGGTCAGGGTTTTAGGGTCAGGGTTTAGGGTTTAGGGTCGGGCCTGAGCTTGGGTTGGGGGCAGCTAGGGGGTACGGGTCTTACTTGAGGTGGTTTGGACCCCCAACTGGCCCTCAGCTTTAACACCCGAAACACCCCTCTAAGCCCTGAAGATTGAGGGTTTAGGGTATGTTTAGGGTCTAAGGCTTGGGGATCCCCAAGCCCTAAACCCTAAACCCTAAAACCCTATGCCCTAAACCCTAAACCCTAAACCCTAAACCCTAAACCCTAAACCCTAAACCCTAAACCCTAAACCCTAAACCCTAAACCCTAAACCCTAAACCCTAAACCCACCCAGGGGCATCTCATAATCTCAGCCTGGCAGCTTCGGGAGCGGGCCGAGGATAGCCTGGACCGACTGCGACAGGGCATCCTCCGCGAAGAGGCCTCCACCATGACGGGAAGGAAGTAGGCTGGTTTAGGGTTTAGGGTTTAGGGTTTAGGGTTTTGGGTTTAGGGTTTAGGGTTTAGGGGTTAGCATCAACCCTAAACCCCATAATAACCCCAAACCCTTCTGATCCCTATAGACCCTAAACCCTACACCTTATACGTACCCCAAAACTGTAAACCCTGAACCCTAAACCCCCCAAAAAAACAAAACCCTACACCTTAAACCACCAAACCCTAAACCCGAAACCTACACCTTAAACCCTAATCAAACCCTAAACCTCGGGATGTTCCCCCTTATCCTAACAGTGCTTAATAGAGATTTTATTGGGGGTACTAAAATCCTCATGAAGGACTGTTCTAAACCCTAAACCTTAAACCCTAAACCCTAAACCCTAGAATTCAACCCCAAACCCCAAACCCCAAACCCTAAACCCTAAACCCCAAACCCTAAACCCCCCCAAAAAAACCCTAAAACTCATCCGCGGGCCGAGGCCGCAGAAGAGGGAGAACAGGACGGCGACGACGCTGAGGAGGCGCTCCAGGCTCCTTGGCTTGGGGAGTTCTTCGGGTTTCTTAGGGTTTAGGGTTTAGGGTTTAGGGTTTAGGGTTTAGGGTTTAGGGTTTAGGGTTTAGGGTTTAGGGTTTGTCAAGTTGGAGACGTGTTGTGACAAGCAGAGGTCGAGCGCATTGTGCCACGGCGACTAGTGACTACTTGGAGGTTCCTGGTACTTAGTAATTACCCAATTATGACTGTACTTTTAACTGTACTTAGAAGTGTACATAAAATAACATTAGGGCACTTAAGGGGCTTATAAGTGGGTTAGAAGTACAGTTAGAATTAATTTGGTTGCTAAGTACCCTGAACCTCCAGCAGTAGCTGCTGCGGGCTTGTCTGTTGAGGGCCTTCGCTCGCTCCCTACGTCGGGACCACATAACCCTAAAATTGGGACCATAGACCCTATGTTTCCATAGTTGACCAGAAGCCCTAGTAGGGTCTGTGAACCCTCAAAACCCTAAACCTTAAACCCTAAACCCCAAACCCAAACTCGAAACCCGCATGTGTTCCGCACTTCTTAGGGGCGTCTAGGGTTTAGGTAATAGGTTCAAAAGCGGCTGGCGCTCGGGACCCCCTGGCCTTTGGCAATGGAGGCCTTGGGTACGTACCCCCTTGGACTGGGTTCAGGGAGCAGTCTCTGATCCCGAGAATGGAACAGAGACCCTCTGGAGAAACACTCACTGCACATAAACCCTAAACCCTAAACCCCAAAAAACAAGTCCAGAGTTGATTCCGTCTCTCATTCCTCCATGGGGGGATCCGAAGTCTGGGCCCGTAATTTGCGGAACCTATTCTATAACCCTTACCTTGGGGACCCTAAACCCTAAACCCTAAAATTGGGGGGGGTATATTCCATTACTACTATGATTCCCATTAAGGTATATGAACCGAACCACACACCCTTTTTAGGGTTTATTTCGTCCCCAAGGTATATACACCATACATATGAAGGGGCCGCCATACTTCGGATCCCTAGAAGCAAGGGTCAGGGGTTCAGGGTTTCGTTTCAGGGTTTCAGGGTTACAGGGTTTCAGGGTTTCCGGATTTCCGGATTTCCGGGTTTAGGGTTTCAGGGTTCTTTCAAGCTTTCAAGTTCAGGGCAGCATCTCTGCATACTAGGCAAAAAACACGGATGTTTGCGTCGTTCTACTGTTGTGCCGCGATGTTGCATGTTTGTCCGGGCCCTCATATCTGCAGAGACTGTTGGGAACTTGTAAAACGAAATGCCTGAACAAACCCGAAACTCTGAAACCCTGAAACCCTGAAACCCTGAAATCCTGAAACGAAGCAAACCTAAAATTCAACACTCGACTGTAGGACCCAAGGTCCAAAAGGCCTAAAGCAGAACCCCAAGCTCGACAGTAGCCTAGATCAGAATGCCCAAGTCAAATACCTACTGCGAATGCAGGGTTTAGGGTTTAGGGTTTAGGGTTTAGGGTTTAGGGTTTAGGGGCTTCAGGCAACTCCTGCCCAATGCAGCTCGGCGTCATCAGCGTCGGGGAACCCACCGCCATGAGAATGCACAGGACCCTCAAAGCCACCAGCAGCCTAGGCTCGTGAGTTGCTCCTGACCTTAAAGCCTTTAAACCTTAAACCCCTCACCTAAATCCCTTCTTGAGTTGATCTGGACCTTAAAGCCTCTAAGCCTTAAACCCCCTAAACCCTAAATCCCTACATCCTCGAATCTAGACCCTAAACCCGAAACCCTAAACTAGGATGGCCCCAAAAACCCCTCTGAACACATGTTCCTGAATATGATCCTCTTAAACCCAATAAGGGGAAGCAATTAAATGGCCCAAAGGGGCCTACTGAGTACAGTGCTTACGGGGGCTTTAAGGAGTTGGGTACCTTTAAAAACCGCTTGGGGGCACCCAAATCCCAATTCCCGACTCATCAGTGGTTGAAGCCACTCTGCCCTTAGCGCTCGAAGCTGTAGCGTTCGGACCTCCGGCACTTAGCAGCTTCTAATCTCGATAAACCTCCCTAACCCTAAACCCTAAAGTACTAAACCCTAAACCCTAAACCCTAAAGCCCTACAACCCTAAAACACTAAAAACCTTGAAGCCCTAAACCGCTTAGCCTAAACCTACATGAACCCTGCGTGGCATTGAAGGTGTTAAGGCTTAGGGTTATAGGCTGAGGGTTTGATTGTGGTTGAACTCTGCTCTTGGTGTGGGGTTCAAACTCGGGGGGTCGGGTGAAGGGCTTTAGTATGGGGTTCCGGGAACCCTAAACCCTAAACCCTAAACCCTAAACCCTAAACCCTAAACCCTAAACCCTAAACCCTAAACCCTAAACCATTTGAGGGCTTATGGCTTCGGGGGGGGTAGAGGATGAAAGGCTTGCGGGTCTGCCTAGACACCTTGCCAAAGACCCCTAAACCCTAAAACCCTAAAACCCCAAACCCCCTAAACCTTCAAACCTTCAAACCCTCAAACCCTCAAACCCTCAAACGATCGACCCGAAAAAGGACCCGGAGCCCCGGCACAAAGACCCACCCTAAACCCTAAACCCTAAACCCTAAACCCAGAATGTGCGCAGGCCAGCGGCGCGAAGGGCAGCCCAGCGTCCTTGATTCTCCTCTCTGCCTGGATGAGAATAGGGTTTAGGGCAGGGTTTAGGGTTTAGGGTTTAGGGTTTAGGGTTTAGGGTTTAGGGTTTAGGGCTTAGGGTTTAGCCCTCCTGGCCATCTCTACATAAGGCTCGTCAGAAGGGGTTTGGGTGGTAACTTCGGGGTTGCCCCTTACACCTGAACACCCTAAACCCTAAACCCTAAACCCTAAACCCTAAACCCTAAACCCCTATATACGGCCCTGAACAAGCCGCCTTAGCCATCTCCTCCCGGCACGTGAGCTCGGCAAAACACCGGGCCTTCGATGAAAGGACGGTTAAAAGGCTTAGGGTTTTGGTTTCGGGATTAGGGTTTAGGGTTTAGGGTTTAGGGTTAAGGGTTTAGGGTTTAGGGCTCTACACTTTTGCAGCTCTGTATGTCGTCCGAAGACTGCAACAGCGTACACCTTTATCAGTGGAGCGTAGAAGGGAGCCTACGTGACCTCCACAAGAAAGGGACTTCGAGGCTAAACGAATCTAACATCTAGAATACCGAAGCCCTCAACCTCTTAACCCTAAACCCTAAAGCCTAAACCCTAAACCCTGAACCCCTTAAACCCTTACACTCCCCCACCTCGCCAACTCTAGACCTGAACCCCTCGTGTCCAAACTCCAAGACCCTAAGCTCCAAATCAACCCTAAACAACCCTAAACCACCCTAAACCACCCTAAACCCTTAACCCTAAACCCCAAACCCTAAGCAACCTCGAGAATCTCGGGTTGAGGGTTTAGGGCTGCAAGACTAAGAGCCCTCGGTCCTAATTCCCGCAAACCCTTTGAGACCAACAAATCCTAAACCCACCCGAGAAGCGCCAAGTCCCCCAATTTTACAAACCCTAAGCCCAAAGAAGCTCTAAACCCAACAGACCCTACACCCAAGACCTACATCCCTAAACCCTGCAACATGCTAGGGTTTAGGGTTTAGGGTTTAGGGTTTAGGGTTTAGGGTTTAGGGTTTAGGGTTTAGGGTTTAGGGTTTAGGGTTTAGGGTTTAGGGTTTAGGGTTTAGGGTTTGTGGGGGTCAGGCCTGTTGCGTCAGAAGCTGCTCCGCCTGCGCCTGATCGCGGAAGAAACTCCCATTGAGCACGATCCATCCCTTGACCTGCACAGCGGCTGGCTTTTAGGGTTTAGAGTTTAGGGTTTAGAGTTTCTAGGGTTTAGGGTCTAGGGCTCGTGCCTATAACCCTACAAGGAGGCCCCAACTAAGTATAGGCAAGGGAGTTCAACGACTTGACAACCCATATTCATTCCTTTGTCGGCAGTCAGCAATTCCGTTCCGTTCGGGCGTTCCCGTTCCGTTCCGGCGCTCCGTTCCGTTCCGGTGCCTCTCCCTTCTGGCTCTTCTTACCCGTTCCGTTCCGGTCTGGGCACCGGAGTCTCATTCAGGGGTTTACGAGAATAAGGGACCCCCTAAGATAGACCCCCTAAATAGTAGGATCCCCTTACAAAAAGGACCCCAATAGGTTACCCCGAATTTCCTAAACCCCCATTTAGCACCCCGCCTCTGGAGGTGAATTGTTGGGAGCAAGCCATAACAACCTAAGCTCAGACCCTTTGAAACATCAATCCTAAACCCCAAACCCCCCCTAAACCCTAAAGCGCCCAGACCCTGAACCCCCTCAACCCAACACCTCCTGAACCCCCTAAACCCAAACCCTAAACCTCCTTAACCTCTAAACCCCTATACCTCTAAGCCGCTAAGCCCCCAAACCCCAAAATGCCGAGTCCCTAAGCCCCCCGAAGACCCCCCAAAACCCCAAACCCCCTGCCGCTACACCCCCCAAAACCCCCCAAACCCTAAACCCTAAACCCTAAACCCCAAATCCTAAACCCTAAACCCTAAACCCTAAGCCCTGAACCCTAAACTCAAGCTTTCATCCCGACCTGCTGCAACAACGCCTCGCACTGGTGCGCCAGGCAAAGCTCTGCGGAGATCTGCTCCAGGCATGCCTGCCGCGCTAAAGCTCCGAGGGTTTAGGGTTTAGGGTTTTTTTTTTGGGGGGTTTAGGGGTTTGAGGGTTTAGGGGTTTAGGGGTTTAGGGGTTTAGGGGTTTAGGGGTTTAGGGGTTGGCGCTTTGGGGTTTGGGGGTTGGGAGGGTCTTGGATTTGGGGGGTTCAGGGTGTGGGCGTAGGGAATGCAAGGTACACCGGACCTGTCAACCATATCCGAAACGATTTACAACCAGGGCTCTACAATCTACAAGGTCTAAAACATATTCCAATTTGATACAGTACCCAGTCATGAGCTTGGGGTATGGGATGTTTTTCTTGTAAAGAACCCAGGAAAGCCGAAGCTCGATCCTTAAGAACCTCGTGCCATTCGTGTTTGCACTGTCTAAAACCTGGGGGGGTCCAGGTTCAAGGCAGGGTTAAGCCTCCCTAAACCCTGAACCCTATCAGGCCCTAATGCTAGTAAGAGCCCTAAAGCCCCTAAGGCCCCTGTAAGGTGCAGGTGAGGAATGGTTGGATCTCAGGGCATGGTGGATTAGGGTTTAGGCTTAGGGCTTAGGGCTTAGGGCTTAAGGCTTAGGGCTTAGGGTTTAGGGTTTAGGGTTTAGGGTTTAGGGTTTAGGGTTTAGGGTTTGGGGTTTAGAGTTACCAGCTTCCTGTATTCGACGCCCGAGACTTCACCCCATACGGTAGTTGGACCAGTTGGAGACGCCCTGCTCCTAAGAGACCTCAAACCCTGAGCGCCACACCCTAAACCCTAATTACTAAGTTAGGCTTCACAGGGCTGAGGGTTTGTAGTTAGGGTCTCCAAACCCCTAAGCCCTAAGCCCTAAACCCCCCCGCCCCCCCTAAACCCTAAGCCCTATAAGCCCTACGCCCCAAGCCCTAAGCCCTAAGCCCTAAACCCTAAACCCTAAACCCTAAACCGCCCCAAACCCTAAACCCCAATAGGTTCTCTAAACCCTAAACCCTAAACCCTGGGTGCCTTGTGGTGAAGGAGGATGAACTCCTGCGCCTCCCGCGCGTGCCGCTGGCGGATCTCCGCAAAGGCTGCGGCCACGTCATAGGCGCCCGGCTTTGCCTCCTCTGTGCCAGTCTGGAGTCGAGGGTTGAGGATTTAGGGTTTAGGGTTTAGGGTTTAGGGTTTAGTTTAGAGCTTATAGGGTTCACCGTTGTTTTTTGTGCGCAGTTTAGGGTGTACAGGGCTTAGGGCTTCAGGTGTAGAGGTTTGGTGTATATCGGGGGGTTAGGTTTCCTGGGCTACAAGAGATCTACTTGGGCTATCAGTGTGACAACTTCGGCTAGCAGTTTGTGTACTGCCCTTGGATAGGGGGTAAGGGTTGGGATGATCCCCGGTTTGGTTTGGGGGGGCTCCGAAATTCGTACCTTAAATCCTGCTATTTCGGGTTTATATGCATGATCCCTAAGCCATAAACCCCAAACCCTTCGCAAACCAGCCGAAGGAAGCCGGCGTTTAGGGTTTGGGTGTTGGGGCTTGCCTCGCGTGGGGTGTCCGGGAATGATAGCATGTAGGGTTTTTCGGGATTTAGGGTTTTTAGGGTTTAGGGTTTATGGCATAAAACAGTGGCCCAAAAAGACGCCCAAAAAGACCGCGTAAACATAAGGATCCTACTATTGGGGTAGAAGGGCCCCTAACAGGGGATTCTGGAAATCCATGCTTGTAGAATCCTTCTGTTTATATGCTTTGTTGGGCCCTTATATAACCCTAAACTTTGAACCTTTTGCGAGGGTCTAAGCGCTCTAGCTGTGGCTTAGTCAACTGTGACCCCAGACGAACAAAGGTGCGACTCAACCGACCCTGAGCACTAAACCTTGCCCGGGTAGGGTGTAGGGTTTAGCTTTAGTATAGGGTTTAGGATTTAGGGTTTAGGGTTCAGGGTTTAGGGGTTTAGGGTTTAGGGTTTAGCTTTAGAGTTTGGGGTTTAGGGTTTGTCGCCTGACCCCATAAGCTCTGCCAACAAAGCCCGAAACACCGAACTCCCTGACCTCCCACATGCCAGGCCCTAAAGCCCAAACGCGAAACCTCCCAAGCTCCCTAAACCCTAAACCCTAAACCCTAAACCCTAAACCTCCCAAGAACACTTCCCGGACGCCTCCCCCACGGCCACTGGCCGCGCGTTTGTGGAGTAGGACTCTGGCCAACGCCAGGTCTTCTTCGCCTCCTGGGGAGTAGGGTTTAGGGTTTAGGGTTTAGGGTTTAGGGTTTAGGGTTTAGGGTTTAGGGTGGGGATTCATTCGGGTTTAGCGCTTGCAGGGTTTCGGTCTTGGAGTTTAGGGCCTTTGGGGCCCTTAGGGGTTTGGCCTGAACCCTAAACCCTGAACTGAAAACCCTACAGTAAACCCTGAAACCCAAACCCTAAACCCTAAACCCCTAAACCCCCAAACCCCCAAACCCCCAAAACCCCCAAAACCCCCAAAACCCCCAAAACCCCCAAAACCCCCAACCCCCAAAACCCCAAAACCCCCAAAACCCCCAAAACCCCCCAAAACCCCTAAACCCCTCAACCCCTAAAAACCCCTAAACCCCTAAACCCCTAAACCCCTAAACCCCTAAACCCCTAAACCCCTAAACCCCTAAACCCCTAAACCCCTAAACCCCTAAACCCCTAAACCCCTAAACCCCTAAACCCCTAAACCCCTACACCGGTTCTTTTGTTCAGATCAACCGCCCAACCCAGCCCCTAGCCTATCCTGGAGCTCAGGGTTCAGGGTTTAGGGTTGAGGGTTTAGGGTGCATTTCAGGCCCTCGGGGTTTAGGGTAGAGCATGGGATGCTCTCCCATGTACTCACGCTCATTCAGAGGGATTCCAAGAGGGGGCACGCAAATCCCTGCTTGAGACCCACACCTTCGGACTGTATACTCAGCGTTAAGGGCTTAGGGTTTAGGGTTTAGGGTTTAGGGTTTAGGGTTTAGGGTTTAGGGTTTAGGGTTTAGGGTTTAGGGTTTAGGGTTTAGGGTAACTTGAACCTTCAAGTGCGCAGGGCTTCCTTGAGCAACCCCACGGACTAGGGGCGTTCTGGTTTAGGGTTTAATCTAAGCTACCCTGAAGCCTAAACCCCTAATGCCCTACAACCTAGCTCCCAAACCTCCGAAAGCCCTCAAGATTCCTTAAGCCACGCCAGCAAAGAGGACACAATCATGCCGTTAGCCCTCCGAACGAACCCTGCCATGCCTGTAGAACAGAAAAGCAAACCGAAACCCAATGAACCACCTAGACCCTAAAACAAACCCCAAAACCCTCTAAACCCTCTAAACCCTCTAAACCCTTAAACCCCAACAACCCTAAACCCCAAAACCCTGAGCCCTAAACCCCTACAGCCCCAAAGCCCTAAACCCCTCAACCCCTGAACCCCAAAACCCCTGAACCCCCAACACTTGGAGGCGCATGGTACTCACTAACCAACCATACCTGTACTTTATAACTGTTCCAAAAACCCAATCAGGGCACTTAAGGGGCTTATAAGTGGGTTATACATACACTTATAATTGGTTAAGAAGTACCCCTTAAACCTTAAACCCTAAACCCTAAACCCTAAACCCTAAACCCCCTTTGGTTCCCATGAACCAAGCAAAACCCCTGAACCCCCAACAGCTCCTCGGCGAAGGGCCGGATCAGAGTATCGCTGGCCACCGCCTGCTGGTAGCGGTTCCTGAGCTTGCCCGAGGGTTTCGGGGGTAGGGGTTTAGGGTTTAGGGTTTAGGGTTTAGGGTTTAGGGTTTAGGGTTTAGGGTTTAGGGTTTAGGGTTTAGGGTTTTTTAGGGTTTAGGGTTTAGGGTTTAGGGTTTAGGGTTTAGGGTTTCTGGTTTAGGGTTTAGGGTTTAGGTTTAGGGTTTAGGGTTTAGGGTTTGAGCACAGGCTCTGCCTAGACCCGAAACACTAAACCCTTTCTAAACTCCCCCAGAAAACGAAGACCGAACTGGTAAGGGGTCTTGAGTCTGGGTGTTGGTGTTGAAGGTTCCAGTTTAGAATTTAGGGCTTAGGGTTGACCCTGAACCCCCTAAACCCTAAACCCTAAACCCTCAGCCCTATAAACCGTAAACCCTAAACCCTAAACCCTAAACCCTAAACCCTAAACCCTAAACCCTAAACGGCTTAAGCAGGTCCAGCTTCCAGAGCCGCTTCTGGGAGACGTAGATATTGGTCTTCACGCGAAGCTCCTGGTTCCAGCGTATGCTTCTCCCTCCTAGAACCGTTTGTGGGTTTAGGGTTTAGGGTTTAGGGTTTAGGGTTTAGGGTTTAGGGTTTAGGTTTTAGGGTGTAGGGTCCGCAACCCGTTATGGGGTTCTAGAAAATAATTGGTATGTTCCGCCCTTATAGTAACAGTCCTTTGTATGGACTATCGTACCCCCCCAAAATGATCCCTATTCAGGACTGTTAGTATACTGGGAAACATCCCAAAATAGGAACCCAAGCTAAAGAGCTCTGAAGATCCATCCATGTACCGATGTAATTCCTTGGCCTCTAAAGCCCTTAACCTAAGTAAAGCCTCACACCCTTAAACCCTTAGACCCCGAAAACCTGAACCCTAAAACTCAACCCCAAACCCTAAACCCTAGCCCTAAACCCTAAACCCTAAACCCTTAACCCCAAGCCCTAAATTCTTGAACCCTAAAGCTACATGTAGGAACCACTGCAGGGTCGAGGGAAGGCTCCTGGGCATAGGGTTTCGGTTAGGGTTTAGGGCTTAGGGCTTAGGGCTTAGGGCTTAGGGTTAAGGGTTAAGGGTTAAGGGTTAAGGGTTAAGGGTTAAGGGTTAAGGGTTAAGGGTTTAGGGTTTAGGGTTTAGGGTTTAGGGTTTAGGGTTTAGGGCTGAGTATTGCTTCTGTCCGGACTTGTGCGGTAACTTGTTGCGGCCTTCATGATTACACCAGAAGCGCCACATCGAACATCGATGTTCCCCCTTATACTGGCAGTCCTTCATGTGATTATAGTAGGGGAGTACTATAGTCCCTAAGAAGGACTGTTAGTCTAAGGGGGAACATCCCAAGGTTACTTGCTATGACTTCCTTTTATATCAGAATGCCTTGAAGGGTATATATAGGATGATATAGGGTACCTCATTCCCTCATTCCCTACTAGACCTTAAAGCCTTAAACCCCAAACCCCAAACCCCAAACCCCAAACCCCAAACCCCAAACCCCAAACCCCAAACCCCAAACCCAAACCCCAAACCCCAAACCCCAAACCCCAAACCCTAAACCCTAAACCCCAAATCCCAAACCCCAAACCCTAAACCCTAAACCCCAAACCCCAAACCCTAAACCCTAAACCTACTAAGAACCAGCCAGCTATATGCAGGCTTCTTCTGGGGGGCTCAGGGGTTGGGATTAGGGCTCACCCGAGTCTCGAGGGCGAGCTGTAGCCCCAAACCCGAAACCCTAAACCCTAAACCCTAAACCCTAAACCCTGAACCTAAACCCTGAACCCTAAACCCTGAACTCAGAGACCTGCGGCTTCACTGGCTTTCGGTGGTGATAACGGTAAGCTCTAGCAAAGGCTAGGGTCGGGGTTTCGGGTTTCGGGTTTAGGATTTAGGGTTTAGGGTTTAGGGTTTGGAGACCAGGCTGCCTTGTGCCAGTCTGTGAAGATGCCGCGAACGCTTGGATCCACCTTCCTCAGCATGTCCTTCGCCGTGTGGAACATGAACCTGAGCAACTCTGGGAAACGCGCGTCCAGGGTTTTAGGGTTTAGGGTTTAGGGTTTAGGGTTTAGGGTTCCTGAGAAGACCAGGCTCCTTTAGTGACTGTCAAGAAAAAAAAGACCCCTGAATCTTCTTCCCCTATATAACCCCCTATACATATAGACATATAGCATATATAAATAGTCCCTATATACCTCAGTAGCCAAATAAGGGTCCCTACTGGAGTCTACACAGTTCACAGTACCTAAACTCCTAAGCAAAAAGAACTTGGCAGTTCAGGGGGGTTCGGAAGGAGCCTTTAGGCACTGGGACACATCGACTCCTAGCCCTAAACCCTAAACCCTAAACCCTAAACCCTAAACCCTAAACCCTAAACCCTAAAGCCCAAACCCTAAATCCCTAAACCCTAAACCCTAAACCCTAAACCCTAAACCTGGAAGTGGGCTGAATAGCATCACAGCAGCTGCATGCTGTTGGAGTTGCTGTGGTCCTCCGTCAGCTGCAGATGCCTCGTCATGAGATGACGACGATAAACCCAGGCTACCGCACTAAGGCTGCCCTGGCTCGCGCTGCTCTGCCTATTTTTTCGGGATCTTCACAGCTGAAACACACATACACATGCGCATATGTATATTTATATATATATATATATATATATATATATCTAGAGAGAGAGAGAGAGAACAAAAAAAACACATGTGTGTGCACATATGTATATAGGGCACGCAACAGCAGATAGGACATCCCCAAAACTGGAGGGCGCCTCATCATGAGATGCGTCTGCTGCTCCAGAAGCTCTTCGATGCGACTCTTCTCCTGCTTGGCTGCTTAAGAACCCGGGTTTAGGGTTTAGGGTTTAGGGTTTCGGGTTTAGGGTTTAGGGTTTAGGGTTTAGGGTTTAGGGTTTAGGGTTTAGGGTTTAGGGTTTAGGGTTTAGGGTTTAGGGTTTAGGGTTTAGGGTTTAGGGTTTAGGGTTTAGGGTTTAGGGTTTAGGGTTTAGGGTTTAGGGTTTAGGGTTTAGGGTTTAGGGTTGTCTCCTGCTTGGCTGCAACTTCGACAGCGGCCGCGCTGTGCTCGCCAGGCGAAGGCAAAGCGTCGCTCTCCAAAGTCACATCCACCTGGCTCGTTTAGGGTTGAGGGTTTAGGGTTTAGGGTTTAGGGTCTGGGGTCGAAAGACTTCGCCGTACAACACACACACACATACACACATCTCGAATCCCCAGAGCAAAGCCTTAACCCGAAGCTGGTTGATCGTTCCTACCAAATGGACTGTACCCACGCCACTAGCTTTCCTTCTGTTCAAAAGAAAGAAGAGAAGCAGAGAACCACACCCCCACCCCGCACCCACGCCCCCCCCCCCCCCCCCCCCCCCCCCCCCCCCCCCCCCCCCCCCCCCCCCCCCCCCCCCCCCCCCACCCCGCCACCGGGGCCTGCTGTGCAGCCAGGGGCATCTCCATGGCCATGATTACGGCTAAGGGATTCGGAGGGCGGAGGGCAAGGGCTCGGCAACTGTAGCGGCTGCGTGGTTCATCTCATTCATGGCAATGCAAGCCTGAGTGCCTCCAAGTGGCTCAGGGGTTAGGGGGTCGTATCAGCTTGACTATATGTTTATCCCTAGCAAGGACGGTTAGTATAAGGGGGAACATCCCAACCTAAGGTCCCTAAAACTACCCTAAACCCTAAACCCTAAACCCTAAACCCTAAACCCTAAACCCTAAACCCTAAACCCTAAACCCTAAACCCCCAGAGTTTCCCATGGACCCTTTCCTCATCGACTCAGTGCGCTGGCATGGGCTCTCTTGGCTCCTCCGCTCTTCGGAGGCAAAGCCTTTGTCGAACGGAGGGCTTGAACAAGACCAGAGTCACCTGCACCACACCATTGTTGGGGGGGGGGGGGGGGCTTTTAAAAAGAACCCTTTTTGTTCCTTTTTTTGGGTTCAAGGATGAAGTACTCAAAAAAGTGTAGAATGATTTTCAACAATGACCCAGCAACGCCAACGACCAGCGCTAGCAAAGCCAGCGAGCTCCAGATGCTTCCTCCGCAAAGCAGCGCGTCAGCTGATGCGTCCACTGCAGTGGCTCCAGCACTAGCTTTGGGCGGTGTCGAAAAGGGTGCAGCACCGTAGGCCACCCTGCTGCTAGTGGTTTGCAGCAATACAAGCACTGCAATGGAAAGGAAGATGCCTAGACTTACCATGCCATCTGCCATGCAGGACCGCCTCTTTCTGGCGAAAAGGTCGCAGAACACGTAGAGCAGCTCGATGCAAATCGCAGAATAAAGGGTGCAGGTTATCGACATGCCAATGGCGAAGGAGATCACGCAGGAGGAAGGAGCGCCACCCTTCCACAAGGCCCATGTGATGTCCACCCATCCGCCCATGTATGGACAAGTAGCGAGCAGGTGATATACATAGGGTACCTGCAGAATGCGGAACCTTTCAACCAGCTCGTCACAAAGTCTTCCCCGCACAAAGTGCGCGAAGTTTTCTGCGCTGCCATACCAGTCACGAATGGCACCATGCACAAATCGCCGATCAAAGTCATTCTGGCACTCAACCTTTGCCAAATCAAAGTGCTTCAGCTGCCAAATTGCCGCATGCTTCTCTCGCATGTACCAGCGAACCACATGAACTAAGGGAAGGATCAAGCCTGTGCACAGAATCACTTGAACGAGGGCCAACCCACGTACTTCTGGAAACTGCAGGGTTGCGAGGTACGTGCCTTGAATGACTACGATGCCAAAGAAACACTTCAGCACCAGGTTCTCCACAAAAATGGGTTGAAATGCGATCTTGCCTGTTGGGTTTGCTGTCCGATAGGCAGCCAGTTCAAAAACCTCGGATTCGCAAGGAAGGCGAGTAAATAGATGGATACAAAGTCATAACTCTTACCGGGCAAATTTGCAACCCTAAACCCTAAACCCTAAACCCTAAACCCTTTCATGAGGTCTCCCCTCACGCCACTGGACATATGCCAGTACAGGGCAATTTTTGGTATGGCAGCATGCCAATCTTCAAGACCTGGAACCTCCAACTAATCCATCTACAACATGGATCCGTAGGGTTTAGGGATTGGGGCTTAGGGTTTAGGGTTTAGATGAGGGTCCATTGTTTTAGGGCTTTAGGGTTTACATGGGGATCTTGGTTGCAAGATCCGCTGAATTTTGCTGCCGGGCAACGCACCAAAGTCTTGAAAGGTATGGTGGGCTCCAGAGAATTCGCAACGTTTTGGTCACTGACAGCCAACCGCCAATGCCATAGATTCCCCTGTGCTTCAACTCTGTGTTCGTCTGGTGAATGCAAGCCTAGGGCGTCTGCGGCACAGCACATGGGGGTTTACGAAAATAGGGGAATATCAATAATAACGATCCCAATCAGGCACCCCCTAATTGAGTAAACCCCTACATGACTGATACTCACAGTACCTAGCAATCAAGCAGATGGGTCAGACTTGAGGCCATCATGATCACCACCATGGACATCATCAATATCATCATCATTGTCATCATCATTAAGGTTTAGGGTTTAGGTTTTAGGGTTAGGGTTTAGGGTTTAGGGGTTAGGGTTTAGGGTTTAGGGTTTAGAGGCACATCATCATTATCATCATCATTACCAGCATCATTGTCATCATCATGAGGGTTTAGGGTTTCGGGTATTGGATTATCATGATCACCAGCAGTATCACCATCGTCATCACCAGCAGCGGCAACTTTCTTCCTATTGGAAATAACACGAAAGGGAACGCTGTGGGGAGCATAAGGAATTCGACCAATGCAACACCGCGAGACCCTAGACCCTAAACCCTAAACCCTAATCCCTAAACCCTAAACCCTAAACCCTAAACCCATCTGAAAGCAGAATCATCGGCACAGGCTCATCAAAACAAGGCTTCGGGCCGTAATCGACTGTTGCGACTATCTGAAGTTGCTGCTGCAGCCGCATAGCAACACGGTATCGTGCTAAACCCTAAACCCTAAACCCTACATAAACCCTAAACCCTAAACCCTAAACCCTAAGCAACAGGCTCAGCGGCAACAAAGCTGCCCCTGTCCCTTCCCAGGACACACACCAAACCAGCCAACAAGAGCGCTAGAAACCGGTTCGAAAGAAGAACCAAGCGAAAAATGGCAGTCATAGTGCTAGCAAAGACATCCAGCAAAGACCAACGACTCGGACGATTAGCACAGTCAATGGGCCCCCAAGGACACATGAGGCAAATATCTTGGACCCATCCAGCATTACCCTTTTGCCAGGAGGCCAGGTCAAAGAAGATGTTGTCAGACTGCCGTCTCGGACAGTATGGCGACAGCAGCAAAGCAACAGCTCCACAAAATGGTGTCAATAGCAGGGCCCAGGGGCCAAGAGGACATACTTGCCCGAAGTCCGACCACTGCGCCGCGTAGATCATGGGCATGGGAACAACGTCGAAGGCGTAGAGCAAAAGTGCCAAGGAAGTACCGAAGTAGCAGCCAAACAAGGCAAAGTGCCAGTTGAAGGCTAAAAGCAAAGACCAGAACTTCAGTCGCCCCGGTGTGTGCCATGTGTGGGATAAAAACCTGCAGTCAACAGATGTCAACAGTCGGCCCAAGGCAACATTGCAACAAGCAGCTTGTAGGGGCATTTTTTTAGGTTTAAATAGAGTTTAGGAGCCTGCCCCTGTGCCATAGCCTGACAAACGGAATGGGGCACATGAAACAGATAATCAAAATATATGTTCCAAAGATTGGGCACAGAAGCATATCGTAGCCTGCTCCTGGCTTTGCCAATGGCCACAACCCTTCCTTGGTAGCCCAGTAACCACATTATCATAAGGGCACCCTGTTTGGGGTTGGCTATTTTATAACCCTAAACCCTAAACCCCAAACCCCAAACCCTAAACCCCCAATTTTACAACCCTAAACCCCAAACCCCAAACCCTAAACCCTAAACCCCAAAAAAAGGGGAAAGGGTACCAGTGGGCTACCAGGCTTCCAGTTGCTCTTGGGTCATCTTCTGCGGCTTCAGCCGCCAAAGCCAACCCGCCCGACACAGCGAGGAACGCAGTGACACAGTGCGCAAGATCTCCTGGTCCACGAGCCTCGGGTTTAGGGTTTAGGGTTTAGGGTTTAGGATTTAGGGTTTAGGGTTTAGGGTTTAGGGGTTAGGGGTTTAGGGGTTTAGCCAGATGACCCAACCGGGCAACGGCCCGATATTGACAATTTTCACCATGCTATCCCTTCCCCTGGCGCAAACCCGCGTAGCCTCATTGATTTAGTTATGCATCGACCGTCATTGAGGGGGCTAGTTGGTTTTGGGGGAAGACTAGATGATGTTCCCAAAGCATTCAATTCTTCGTTTCTATGTCACAAGTTGCATTCTACCAAACCATGCTTGGAACCTTTGCAGCCTTGGCAGAAAACCTTCACTTCGTTGCCGAGTTCATAAGCCCCCCAAAAGTGCACGCTTTCATTTCTGTAGGGGATTCTAGTGTCCCAAACAGTGTAAAGCGTACTCAGTCAGGTACCAAATCTGCCCAGGGGCAGCAGGTGTGCAGAGCGAACGCCTTCTTCGAGGGTGCTCGCAGCCCGCAGGCCAAGCTGGGAAGATGGTGGATTTTCAGGGGAGCTTGCAGCTGGCGATCCGTCGGAGACATCCTCCTGGCAAAGTCTAAAAGGGGTGTTACGAATTAGAAAATATATATATATATATATATTGTTTTTTGTGGGCGGGGAGGGTGGGGGGGGGGGGGGGTTGTTACAGTATAATTATATAGGGGAACATACTAAGGGAACACTAAGTAAGTCTTCCGACCCCTGTATTGCGGGCGCTTCCCTGGATGGAAGAGAAAGTAGTTGGAAACACTTTGGAATTGTGCTGGAAAATGTTCACCCTAAACCCTAAACCCTAAACCCTAAACCCTAAACCCTAAACCCTAAACCCTAAACCCTAAACCCTAAACCCTAAACCCTTCTAGACTCTAGACATGAGCCATTCAGTAGAAGGGAAACTTCTTCAACATGTCTCAATGTAGCAGATATCTGGGGTTTACGAAATTCAGGGACCTCCCTTATTATCAGGACCCCCATAAGGTACCCCCAATTCGAAAAAAAAAAAAAAACCTTACAAAAGAGGCTCTGCGAGTCCAAAAAACCACAAACACCAGAGGTTTAGGGTTTAGGGTTTAGGGTTTAGGGTTTAGGGTTTAGGGTTTAGGGTTTAGGGTTTAGGGTTTAGGGTTCAGGGTTCAGGGTTTAGGGCTAGGGGTTTAGGCGAGTCCTTAGGGGCTCAGGGAATGAAAAAGAAGCAAGTGATTAATCATCAGGGAACCAGGGGAAATCTGTTGACAATCAATGAAATCAACTTACTGAAGTGAAAACAATGGAGAATAGATTTAAATACGAGCTTAAACACAACCTGAGAGACGCTGAGAGATTGCCACGGTGCCACGGGCGATGGATGTGCAGGATGAATTGACTAAGCTCATGTCCGTTGAAACACCAGCTCGAATGTCAGTCTTTCCCGCCCCCCCCTCTCTCCGCAAAAACAAGCTAAATTCTCTGGCAAAAACCATCGCCTGGCAGATGACAAGACCGGGGAAGCATCTACAACAGCTAGCACAAAAGTGGGAAGCCACGAGTTGTAAAAAGGTTGAAGCAGGGATGCATCTATCAGACATGAGATCGTGAATATCAGTACTATAGAATACATGGGCGCGGGTGTATGCATGTAAACCTCAGGCAGGGATGGTCTGGGCATTGCATGGACGAAGATTCATCTCTCTGTCCCTCCATCCTCAGCGACGGCGCTAAAGGCTTTCGCGGAAAGTTCGCCTGTTACAGATGCAGTCTGTGCATCGGCACAGGCTTTTTCACTGCAGCAGCTCGACGAAAGGCCCATGGCAAGTCGTCCCAAGTGTAGAACGCGTACACAAACCACACACACACATACACACACACACACACACACACACACACACACACACACACACTAGAAATAAATAAATAAATAAATAAATATATATATATATATATATATATATATATTGCACATCTCAGGCAACTCAAACCTCCGGTTGCTTCGAGGCAGCGATTCCAAATATGGCGTGCTTTCGGACACGCGAAAGGACTTGTATCCTTGCAGAATACCCTAAACCCTAAACCCTAAACCCTAAAACCCTAAAACCCTAAAACCCTAAAACCCTAAAACCCTAAACCCCAAACAATACTGGTGCATCCCAAGCCCCACCAGCGCCTCAAATCCTTGTAATTTAAGGCCCTCAAAACTCCATTTATGGCCAGGGGCCCCCAAGGGTTTAGGGTTTAGGGTTTAGGGTTTAGGGTTTAGTTTAGGGTTTAGGGTTCAGGGGGCCCCCACTTGTAGGGCAACCTGTGACTGGTGAAACAGAGATCCTGAGCCAAAGAAGTGGAAGCGTCTTGAACGATCTTGAAAAACCTTGCAGTGCAACAAATAGCCCAAGCAGCCCTCCAGCATGGCATGGCGATGTAGTCACTGAGGCATTTGGGCACTGCTCCTAAACTGCTCCTATGATTCCGAAGCGCTCTGGAGCAGTTGGGGCTCCGGAGTGTTCAGGGCTCAGGCTTTTAGGACCTCGTGGTGGTGGGATGACGAAGCCCTCTCGCGCCGCACGTAGGGTTTAGGGCCTGCCACGCCGCAGCTCATTTTGGGGTGGTCTGGGCCTTGCCACACCACACCTTGTAGGGTTATGCGCATAAACGCCTTCGCCGAAAGCCGCAACCTCAACATCCCCAAGCCGCATGAGCTTAAGCCCTACTAAACCCCCTGAACACCCCAAACGCCCTGAACCCTAAACCCGAAAACCCTAAACCCGAAAACCCTAAACCCTAAACCCTGAGCCCTAAACCCTAAACCCTAAGCCCTAAACCCTAAACCCTAAACCCTGCAATTCAAAACCCCGCCTTCAGAAGCCCAATCTAAGCCTCAAACCTTAAACATCCTCAACGTAACCCCGAAGACCCTATAATATATGCACCTTGCAACCCGTAAGCCCTTTGCCCTATACAGCCTACTGCCTTTGAAAAGCTTGCGACCCTAAACCCTAAACCCTAAACCCTAAACCCTAAATCCTCAGCGCAGCGCCCCGCCTTCCCCTCGAGGATGGCAGCTGCCTCACCCAAGGGCTCGATGAAGCCGAAGCCCTTCATCGTGTTGAACCTCCAGGAGTTTTAGGGTTTTAGGGTTTAGGGTTTAGGGCTAGGGTTTAGGGTTCAGGGTTTAGGGCTAGGGTTTAGGGTTTAGGGTTCAGGGTTTAGGGTCTTAGGGTTAAAGACTGTGGATGCTTCACCGGATGGCAACCACGTCGGACTACGGGCGTGGGCCTATGTCACTGGGTGGGTGGTGCAGGTGCCACCCTCCTGCCTCCCTAAGCCATAAACCCTAAACCCTAGCCCTAAACCCTCAACCCTAAATTATGAATCTATTGTATTTATTCTTGGGTGCAGGTTACCTTCTGGCAGGGTGAGCAGACAGTGAAGCTAAGTGCCTCCAAAAGGGGAGGGCCACAGGCTAAGTTCATCGGTATCATTTCATATGACGGCAAGATTTAAGAGGCAGTACGCCGCGTCCCAGGTCAGCCGATGTACCCACGTCTTTGTGAGTGGTCGTCTTATTCAAGGATCCGAAGGTAGCGACGAAACCCTAGGCTCCAAAGTCAGTTGACCAAACCCTATGCCCAGAACTGGCCCCGAAACCTTGAGCCAAACCCCTAAAAACCCCGAAAGATATCCCGAATCCTGAGCCCGAAACCCTAAACCCTAAAAACCTGAAGCCAAACCCCTACAAACCCCTACAGATTCCCGAGCCCTAGCCTGAAACCCCCAACCCTGTCTAAGACAAACCCCTCCAAACCCTAAAGACATCCCGAACCCTAAACCTCTAGGACCCCGAAACCTTCAAGCCTTTTCCCAGAAAACCCTAAACATATCCTGGACCCTGAACCTGAAACTCGTAAACCCTAAACCCCAAACCCTAAACCCTAACCCCTAAACCCTTATAGCCTCTCCAAATGCATACGACCGTCTGGTGCCGAGCCCAGCACCATCGCACCTTCCCCTGAAAGAGTGGGCCTTTGTCATCCTTCGGGCCCAGAGAAGGAGGGTTCAGGGTTTAGGGTTTAGGGTTTAGGGTTTAGGGCTTAGGGTTTAGGGCTTAGGGTTTAGGGTCTGGGGTTTAGGGATTTTGGGGCTTGGGGCTTAGGGTCTAAGGTTTTTGGTTTAGGGTTTGGAGTTTAGGGTTTAGAGTCCGGGGCATTGGGCTTAGGGTGCCACATCATTACAGGGTATACTTCAGATAACGGTCATGTACGATTATTTTTACGACGCCTACGCTACCCTAGCCACCTCCCCTATAGATCCCCTCAGTTTGTCATGGGGTGGGGTCTGGCCAGGGGGGGGGGGGGGGGGGGGGTGCCAAATCGAAAAAGCCATTTCAGACCCCCCGCGCTCCAAATCCCATATTATGTATGTGTATCATATAGGATATAGGATCTGAAATGAATGTGGGCCGCGCCCCATTGTAGACCCCTGGCGCCAGGGGTCTCAGGCCCCCCGATTCCAGACCCCCACAAGGCCGCAAGCTGAGGGGCTCCCTACTATAGTATGCCAGCATTCACGCCCAGTGCGGGTCCATATACGCTACATGCTGAATGGCAAGGTGGGTGGGTGGAGAATTAGCGAGTCATGCCACAACCTACGGGCAACTCTCAAGACCATGGTCTCTTGTGGGGGTATTGAAACCTAAAGCTTCACATGAAGTAGGGAGTTTCTTTTACTTGGTAGTCCAGCAACCATATTATGATAAGGGCATCCTTTTTTGGGTTGGTTACTTTATAAGGGAACCCATAACCCAACAAAAAAGGGCAAGGCTACCAGGTTTATCAGACAGGACAGCCAATATATCACATGAACGCTCGTGTATATATATATATGTGGAACTCTATATCCACGCCTATCTGAATAGAGGCTATATTAGCAAATAATGCAGCATCCGCACCATAGCCCTAAAACCCTAGAACTGCGCATTCGGTTTAGGGTTTCGGGTTTAGTTTAGGGTTCAGGGGTTAGTGCATGTTCCATGATGATCTGCGAAATCGGTGGCAAGGGACCCGCGAGGGCAACCAATTGTCAATTGCAAACACCCCGGCAGACGCGAAACCCATCGAAGCCCTAAACCTTTCGTGGGTTTAGAGCTTAGGGCCGTAAAACCCTAGACCCTAATTCTAAACCCTAAAACCTGAACCCTGATAAACCCTTAGAAAACCCTAAACCCTAAACCCGAAACCGTAAAAACCCTAAACCTTTCCAACAGCAGCCCGCACTCGCGCGCGCCTTGGGATCCTTGTCTGCCTCCCCGCCCGTGGGCTCGGCCTCAGCTTCAAGGCTCACTTGCAGCTTGCAAGGTTTAGGGTTTGGGGTTTGGGGTTTGGGGTTTGGGGTTTAGGGTTTAGGGTTTAGGGTTTAGGGTTTAGGTTTGGGGTTTAGGGTTTAGGGTTTAGGGTTTAGGGTTTAGGGTTTAGGCTTTAGGCTTTAGGGTTTAGGGTTCAGGGTTTAGGGTTTAGGGCTTCGTGGCTTTCGAGGGTTCCGGAAATCTGGAGGGTTTTACAGAGTTTGGAAAAGTTTTGTTGCGAGGCTTTGGGATCTAGGCCCGGTCCATGGCGTCATGGGTTGCCCCGCTACCCCCCACTATGCTACCCTCCCAGGTTCACCCCTGAAATAACCGAATTAGGCTTAGGTATCCCTAAACCTATAAACTCTAAACCCTAAACCCTAAATAGCCTTAATTATGGGGGCAACCTCGGGGGGTAGAGTAGGGGGAACCCATGAGACCATGTTTAGGGTTTAGGGTTTAGGGTTTAGGGTTTAGGGTTTAGGGTTTAGGGTTTAGGGTTTAGGGTTTAGGGTTTATCTTTCAATGGCAACAGCCTGGGCCTCAGCAAGCTGCGCAAAACTCGATCCGTCGGGCCGAAACAAGGCCCTGAGTGGCAATAAACCTTAAACCCTAAACCCTAAACCCTAAACCCTAAACCCTAAACCCTAAACCCTAAACCCTAAACCCTAAACCCTAAACCCTAAACCCTAAACCCAAACCCCAAACCCACAACCCAAACCTCAAAAACGCCAGGGCTTTGGGGCTTCAGGGTTGAGAATTCTCTCAATTCTCTGGGTCCAAAACACTCAATGCAGGGCTGGCGCCCAACACACTTTTCATTACGTCTCAGCTGGGGCTTCAGGGCTCAGAACCCTAAACCCTAAACTCTACACCCGAAACACGCAGAACGTATCCTAAACCCTAACCCGAAACCCTAAACCATAGTGTAGGTGAGCCCTAACCCCTAAACCCTGTAGGGCTTCAGAATTCTCCGGGATCCTTCTTGCTGACTTCATGGGTTTCCCTACTTCTCCCCTTAATTATGTGGAGGAACCTAGAGGGGGGATGGGGGAGTAGTATAGAAGGGGTAGTGAGGTTTAGGGTTTAGGGTTGAGGGTTTAGGGTTTAGGGTTTAGGGTTTAGGGTTTAGGGTTTAGGGTTGGGGTTAGGGGTTCGGGGTTAGGGGTTAGGGCAACCCATGATGACGGGAAAGCACTGGCCTCGGGCAGCTCTGCATCGTCGAGGACGACGCGGATCTGGCCAGTCGGCCTGGGCTCGCAGATATCAATAAGGTTTAGGGTTTAGGGTTTAGGGTTTAGGGCTTAGGGTTTAGGGTTTAGGGTTTAGGGTTTAGGGTTTCGGGTTTAGGGTTTAGGGTTTAGGGTTTAGGGTTTAGGGTCGGCCTGGGCGCGCAGATATCAATAATGTTTGGGGTTTAGGGTTTGGGGTTAAGGGTTTAGGGTTTAGGGTTAAGGGTTCAAGTGGGGGGCCCCCTCGCTATGAATAGGGTACTAAGGGCCATAAATTGGGTTATAAGGTCTTACTAGTTCGGTTGCTACTCCCTGAACTGCAGTTCGTGTCGTAAGGGGGGGTAGCCCAGTAGCCATATTCTGACAAGGGTACCCTTTTCGGAGTTGTTTACTTATGAGGGAACCCAGAACCCAAAAAAGCCGCAATAGGGTACCACTGGTCTACCAAGCATCTTCTCTGTGTTTGTGGTTTTTCAGCTTAGGGCTGAGGGATCGAAACGTCTCGCAGGTCATGGGCGCCTTGCAAATGCTGCACGCATGCCGAACAAAAACAAGTCGGCTTCCGGTCAGTGGGTTTAGGGTTTCGAGTTTAGGGCTTAGGGTTCCGAATCTTCTCCCATGCCTTCAGGGTTTAGGGCTTAGGATTTAGGGTTTAGGGTTTAGGGTTCACAATAATTTTAAGGGTGTTTCGGGTGTTAAGCGGTGTTGGGGCTCAGGGGTTCTAGAACGCGAGGTCTTCGATCTGCGAACCACTGAGCGTCAGACAGGTGGAAGTATGCCATCTCCTTCTTGTTGTGGAGCCACCTTTCTGGGACCACCCTAAACCCTAAACCCTAAACCCTAAACCCTAAACCCTAAACCCTAAACCCTAAACCCTAAACCCTAAACCCTAAACCCTAAACCCTAAACCCTGAACCCTGAACCCTGAACCCTGAACCCTGAACCCTGAACCCTGAACCCTAACCCAGCAACCTGGGAATTCCCTCAACCCTCGATGCAGACCCTAAAAAATCTTTGGAGTTTTACGTGGGCTTGGGGGTTTGGGGGGTTGAAAGGTTCTGGGGGCCCAAAACCCGAAGCCCGGAAATCTAAACGCAAATTCGGGGTTGGAATTTGGGGTTTAGGGTTTCGTGTCTAGCAAGGGCCACGGGGTTGACTCCTGCAAGTTGTGAACATGCTGTAATTTAGGGAAACCTGGTGACAGGGTGTCGCCAAACAACCCCCCCTCAAACCCGAAACCGTAAACCCCAAACCCTAAACCCTAAAGTCTACAAGCCAACCCCCCAAACACCCAAGGCACCGACGGCTTCGGGCTAAGGATTTCGAGAGGGATTTAGGTTTCCCCCCTAAACCCTACAAGGAAAGGGTTTCGGGTTTATCGGTTTAGGGGTTTAGGGCTTGCGGGTTTAGGGCTTACACCATTTAAAGAAAGGTTGGGGTTTAGGGGTTTAGGGGGTTTAGGGGTTTAGAGGTTTAGGGGTTTAGGGGTTTAGGGATTCAGGGGTCTAGGGGCTTAGGGGCTTAGGGGTTTAGGGTTTAGGGTTTAGGGTTTAGGGTTTAGGGTTTAGGGTCCCTAAGGGCACTTGGTCTCCGGGCTCGCCCCCGCTGTGCGCGAACCAGCCATCTGATGCCTCCGTGTAGCCTCTGCAGCGTCAAAGGTCAGGGTTTAGGGTTTAGGGTTTAGGGTTCAGGGTTCAGGGTTTCGGGTTTAGGGCTTAGGGTTTAGGGGGATCAGAGGGCCGTAGAGGATGCATGTGCAAAAACAAAGCACCCCCTTCATATATGAGGATGCACTGCGATAGGACCCAGGTTTCTGGTCCATGGATAAATCTCGGCAAAACATCTTAGGCCGTGCCAGCCGAAACAACAGGCCAGCACGGTTCAGGGTTTAGGGTTTAGGGTTAGTCGCGTCCGCGAAAAACGCGCGCAGTGGAGGGGCCTTCTAGAAAGAGTACGATCTCAAGGTTGTAGACAGATTGTATACGGGGTATTCCGTGGACACCTAACCACCAAAAGGAGGGTGTTACCCAGCTCCCTGATAACTTGCCTGCACTACCACCTCCCCCCTTACAGGCAAACCCTAAACCCCGAAACCTCCAAAACAAAATGCAAAATAGTGAGGCCCCTACATTACCAATTCCCTGATGGCCTGCGAAGAATCGTGTGCCTTACATACAGAATGTTCCCTAAACCCCAAACCCTAAAGGGTTAAGGGTGTAGGGTTTTCTGCTTTAGGGTAGGCGTGAGGGTTTAGGGTTTAGGGTTTAGGGTTTAGGGTTTAGGGTTTAGGGTTTAGGGTTTAGGGTTTAGGGTTTAGGGTTTAGGGTTTAGGGTTTAGGGTTTAGGGCCTTTAGGGTTTAGGGTTTAGGGTTTAGGGCTTAGGGTTTAGGGTTTAGGGTGTAGGGCTAAGGTTTAGGGGTTTAATCAAGCTGCAGGCGCGCCTCCCGCGGAGTAGAGCGGTGGCATCCCCGGCCCGCCATTGGTGCGAGGCCTGCGCGTCACTCCAAAGCAACTTGGGGTTCAGGGTTTAGGGTTTAGGGCTAGGGTTTAGGGTTTAGGGTTTAGGGTTTAGGGTTCAGGGTTTAGGGTTTAGGGTTCAGGGTTTAGGGTTTAGGGTTTGGGGTTTGGGGTTTCATAATCCACGAAAAAAGCCCAAATAGCCACAAACAAGACCCTAACTAACAGTAACATCGCCACCTTGGGGCTGTAAAAGTCTCCAATACCTAAGGTTGCCCTTATTTAAGGTTCAGGGTTTAGGGTTTAAGGTTCAGGGCTTAGGGTTTAGGCTTAGGATTCAGGGTTTAGGGTTAAGGTTTTAGGGTTTAGGGTTTAGAATTTAGGGTGCTCTACCCCCTTGTTTATAGGGATCCGAAGTACTTGGAGGTTCATGCGCACGTATAAGTAGGGCTATCAGTACCAAAGTACGGAACTTCCAAGTGTTGTGGGCCCTTCTTGTGTATAGTGTACATGAAGGGTTACATAACAAAGGACCCAAACTAAGGGCCCATACTTGGAACCCTCGACAATGCAATCTCTCTGCTGCAAAAAAATTGCTTCTCCATCAGGCTCGAAAATCCGGCCATCGACCCCTCAACCCTCAACCCTAAACCCTAAACCCTAAACCCTGAACCCGAAACCCTCACTTACAACCCGAGAAAAGCTGCAACTATGTCATCCCTGCGTAACCCCTAATTGGAGCCCTTAGTTATGACCTTAAAGGTTACTTGCAAATGGCTCCCCGAACAACACCCAAGTAAACACTGACCAGCCTGCCTGCTTGCCCATGCGACCTAAACCCTAAACCCTAAACCCTAAACCCTAAACCCAAAACCCCAAACCCTAAACCCTGAACCCTAAACCCTAAACCCTAAACCCTAAACCCTAAACCCTAAACCCTATCCCTAAACCCTAAACCCGAAGATCCCAAGAGCTGCCTCTTGGCATCCGGCTCCGAGGCCTTGTAGCCGAAGCCCGATGGGTTTTTTGAGGTTGAGGGTGAGGGTTTATAAGGTTTAGGGTTTAGGGTTTAGGGTTTAGGGTTTAGGGCTAGGGTTTAGTTCTAGGGCTTACTCCGAGGGTCCATATACCCTACAGTTGTGGCTTTTGGGTCTTTACAAGCAGGGGACCCCTAGGATTATATATAGTTCGGGCACGAAGCTGGTGATGTGTCCTCTTTTTTTATACTGTAGTTCCCCTAACTTTAAGGGTTTAGGGTTTAGGGTTTAGGTTTGGGGTTTAGGGTTTAGGGGCTACTACTTGCAGGATCCCTGAACCCTAAATCTAAACCCTCAAATTCCAGGTGAAGCCCAGCAGTGAACTTACTTCCTGCCCGAACGTGAACGGCTGGTGAGACACCCAGAAAAAACAATCGCGGAGGTCAAGGAAGTCAGGTTTCTCTTCCGAGTTCAGGCATCGTGAGTCAACCCGCGGAGCATAGTCGAGATTGATCAACGCAGAAATCGCCGCGATAACACCTCCTCACGAATCTCCGAACGCTCCGCTAAAATCAGCGGCGTAGAAAGTGACGAAAGGTTCAGCGATTGGCCCGGTCTTGAGATCAATGTGCTGACTCGGGTATTGCTGACCTAACCGCTTTTGCCTGAGCAATGCCTCCTGACTTCGCGACGGTTGCTGCACTGATTTCACACATGCAGGCAAGCCGCAACCGGAAACCGTTGTGCTAAACGAGGCTTTGGATTCATGAGGGTTTAGGGTTTAAGGGTTTCGGGTCTAGGCTAGGCTTTGAGTTTTAGGGATTACCTGATACTATACTTTACCTGTACGTAGTGTTTAGGGTTTAGGGCTTCGGCTACCCATGGTCCAGGCGACCGTCTAAACACTACGCCCGAATTTGTCTTGGTATCAGAATAGTGTGAGAAGGGTACCCGTTTTGGGGGTCTGTTGCTTTAGAAGGGAACCTAGAACGAAGCAACGCGCAAAAGAGTACCGCTGGGCTACGAAGAAGTCCTATTGTGCTCGAAGGCGCAGAGCGCTACAGGAGGTCTACCACCCATAGTTATAAGTGGAACTACAACGGCCCTCAACTGGGTTGCCAGGGATTAGGGCTTAGAGATATTCAGGGTTTAGGGTTAGGGTTTAGGGTTTAGGGGTATTTAGGTTTAGGGTTTAGGGCTTTTGGGTTTAGGGTTTAGGATTAGGGTTTAGGGTCTAGGGTTTAGGGTTTAGGGTTGAGGGCTGAGGGAACCCCCCAAGAGTGTAAAGTTCCAGGCACCTTGGGGGTCGATGCTCTGCCAAAGGCTGCAAGAACAAGGCTGTTCACCGAACCCTTGCCATTTGTATGGTCCATAAGTCATAGGGCCTAGATGGGTTACAGCCCTTAATAGGGATTATAGTGCCCCGCCCCCCCCCCCCCCCTATTCAAATCCCTACTCAGGACTGTTAGTATAACTTAGTTGCTGCGTTCATAAGCCACAAAAAAGTGTACACTTCCAGTTCTGTAGGGGACTATTGTACCCCAACAAGTGTAAAGTGTGCTCACTCAGCTACGAAGCAAAAGTATAGAGCCCAGATGGGCTGAGGGTTGAGGATTTAGGGTTTAGGGTCGGTGCAGAGACTAGGCACCTGACCGCGAGATGCCCCGAGATTAGAGTTTCTATATAAAGCTCATCACGCTCAAAGGTCTGAATCTTTGCCCTAAGACTCCGAGAATAATGTATACTAAACCAAATTTGTATATGTATATATATATATATGTATATACATACATATATGTTTATATATGTATATATATATAAAGATATGTATATATATATATACACATACTCTATATATATATATATATATACTATTTATATGCATATATAACTGTTGGTTTTGGGGAGCCTGTCCTCGGGGTTTGCAGCTGAGCCCGTCACCTCTTGAGCTGTCATGGCGCCCAATGCATGATGCTCAACAGCGTGGTCGGCGGTTGTTGGCTTATGGGGTTTCAGGGCTCGTAGGGGGTAGTCGAAAACCCTAAACCCTAAACTAAACCCTCAACCCTTTGAGCAGCTGTTTTCGAGAGGCTCTTCAGACCGTTCGATGTTGGAGGGCATGGTGGTTGCAGGACTCGTGCTCGGTCAAGGGTTGAGGAGGTCTGTGCTTAGGGAATAAGCTTATGGTTTAGTAGGGTGGCTCTGAGGGGTACGGTGTGGTGATGCCAGTGTGAGCCTGGACTCTCTGATTAAGCGAAGCTTGTGCCGCGGTCGCGCGGACAGGCAATGCAGATGCAATCGCTGAGCGAACCCCGACGCGGAACAGGACAGCAGCCCCATAAGGCTACATAGTAGATGCTACAGTCTGGGAAAGTAGTTCAAGCTCCTGAACACAAGCCCAGTACGAGGGAAGATGCTTATTACCTACTAAGGAACGCCCGTGAACCATTGAGGCACACCCGGAAACCCTCATTAAGTACGAGGTCAGAGAATCTTTGAAGCCAAACCCCCCCACCCCACCCGGGCAAAAAATTGTCCTAAGTCTACATACCCGGCAAGCCGTAATGGGGCTGCTTTGAACTAGGACTAGGGTCCCTTCTTCTTCTGCTTCTTTTTAGGGGGTGGTGCTTCTTTTGAGTGGCTCCATGTTTTATGCTGGGGCCCTTAAGTAACACAACCTTCAGCACAACCGAAATCCGCAATCCTTTGAGAACCCTACGTCCAAACACAGGCCCGACACCCTACTTGGAAACGCTTTTGGCTTAGTAAGCAAGAATGAAAGGGTTTCCAGGTAATACTAAGTAGACTAAGTCAAAAGGCCTTCCAAGTTAACCCATAAACCGACATCCTCAACCCCTAAACCCTCAACCCTAAGCCCGAAGCCCTAAACCCTAAACCCTAAACCCTAAACCCTAAACCCTAAACCCTAAACCCTAAACCCTAAACCCTAAACCCTAAACCCTAAACCCCTGCCGCCTCGAGTACGGGGCCTCCGGGATCCCCTCGGAACTGGAGGAACTCCCCATGCTCCTGCCGGATTTACAGGGACTAGGGTTTATGGAGTTTAGGGGGTTTAGAGCTTATGTTTTTTTTGGGGAGTTTAGGTTTACGGGGGTTTAGGGTTTATGGGTTTATGGTTTTATGGATGTTTGGGGAGTTTAGGTTTAGGGATTTACAGGGACTAGGGTTTATGGAGTTTAGGGGGTTTAGAGTGTGTGTTTTTTTTTGGGTTGTTTGGGGAGTTTAGGTTTAGGGATTTATAGGGGCTAGGGTTTATGGTGGGAGTTTAGGTTTAGGGTTGTTCGGGTTTGTTGGGTTTATGGGTTTATGGAGTTTAGGTTTAGGGTGTGTAGGCTTTATAGGGTTTATGGGTTTGTGGGGTCTAGGGCTTTCGGCTTTGTAGGGTTTATAGGGTTTATGGGGTTTAGGGCTTTAGGGTTTAGGGCTTATGGAGGTTAGGTTTAGGGTTTAAAGGGTTTATAGGGCAATTTATGGGGTTTAGGCTGTCTGGGGGTATGTAGGGTTTATGGGGTTTAGGTTTGGGGCTTATAGGGTTTATAGGGTTTATAGGGGAGGAAAACTTAATGTGGTTTTCGCAATGGGTTTTGTGGAGCTATTTCTGGGTCTTGTCCTAGAAAAGCCCTGAACCCTAAACCCTAAACCCTAGACCCCTAAACCCCTTTGCGTTAGCCCCAAAGGCTCAAAGGACTCCTGGATAAAAAAAGGTTTTTGGGCTAAAGGCCTTATGATGAAGGGTTGTTGAGCAAGGGTTAGATTAGGGTTTAGGGTTTAGAGTTGAGGGTTTAGGGTTTAAGGGTTAAGGATTTAGGGTTTTGAGCCTAGGGGTTAGAGGCCTGAACAAATGGAACCCCCGTACCAAGCCCTACAGGGTCTAGGGCCTAGGGTTTAGGGACCCTAAAACCCGTGCTTGAACCAATCATGAAGCTTCAAGTATTGTCCCTCTGTTTTTTCGGGCGCTCATGTGTGAAGCGTTTAGGGCTGCCTTGAACCTTGTATCCCGTAAGTCAGCATCCAAACTGCTGGCCCTAAACCCTAAGCCCTAAACCCTAAACCCCGCAACCCGAAACCCTAAACCCCAAACCCGCATTCGCAGCTCTTCTTTTTGTCACCCTGACCCGACCAGTCGGACGAAACTTGGGGTGAAAGCGGGGGGCATTATCTAAAAAGGTGGAGCCTTGCAGCGAAATAAGTCGCACACCGCTTGCTGGCACAAGCCTACCCAGAGGTGCCCAAAGAACCCAATCATATCCCCTCATTAAGGAATATACCCTAAACCCTAAACTCTGAACCCTAACTACACCCCACACCCTAAACCCTAAACTCTGAACCCTAACTACACCCTACACCCTAAACCCTAAACCCTAAACCCGAACCCTGACATGGTTCAAAGCATATTCCTTTCTAAGGGGTATTGGGCTACCTGCCTTCAGCTCGAAACGCCCTCTAAGGCCTACGTCGGAGGGGATGCTCTATAAGGTGTTGCAGTCTCACCCTAAACCCTCAACTATGAACCCTCAACCCTAAATCCTAAACTCTACACCCTAAACCCTACACCCTAAACCCTAAAACCTAAACCCCAAACTGGCCCTAAACCCTTCCAAAGACGTTCCCCTAGCCCTAAGCCCTGAAACCTCGAATGTGGGCTACTATTCGCTTAAGAAATCCAGAACAATAACAAATGATAATCCCTATATTACCCCGAAATAAGGAAGAATATTTTGCATCTTTCAAAAATTAGACAACCTCTAAGGAAGACAAAAATATTTTTTCGTGGTTCTTAAGCAATTGGTAGTGGGATGGAGGGGGCAGGGTTTTTTTGGAGGCTTAGGGGGATGACGGCTTCTCGGGTTGAGGGTTTAGGGTTGAGGGTTTCGGGTTTAGGAAAACCCTAAACCCTCAACCCTGAACCCTCAACCGGCTTAACCGGCTCAAGCAGGCTAAGGGAGAGCAGGTTCGAGCCAGGCGGTGTGTTCACTGGGCGTGCGGCAAATTACTCACGCGGGCGAGGACCGGAAGGGTTTAGGGCTTAGGGCATAGGGTCTAGGGCTTAGGGTTTAGGGTTTAGGGTTCCGAGTTTAGGGCTGCACACTGCAACGATGTTTGTGTTCCTTCTTTGAAAAGGCTTACTGCTTCGGCCACACCAGAACACCTGGAAACGAAGGTTACAAGCCCGTAAGGCCCCTTAACCCTACACGCTCAAACCCTAAGTCCCGAAAGCCTCTAGACCCCTAAGGGCGAAACCCTTAAGCCCTAAACCCTAAACCCTCTTCTCTAAACCCTAACCTAAACCCTAAACCCTGAACCCTAGACCTTAAACCCCTAAACCCCTAAACCCTAGAAAGCACGCAGGTCGCCAAAAGCCCTAAGAGCCGAAAGCTCTGAAGCTCTGAAGTCCTGAAGTCCTGAAGCCCTATAAACTTTCAAACAAAAAGACTAGGCTGCCCAGTAACCTAGGCTTAAAAAGGGTGCCCTTTTTTTGCTTAAAGGGGTTTATAAGGGAACCTAAACCCCCCAAGAAGGGAATAAGGGTACTACTGGGCATGCTAATATAACCTTTCAAACAAAAAGAAACCCAACATTCTTACACTCGTAACCACCCAAGCCCAAAAGCGCAAAAATGAAGCTAACCCCGACACCCTAAACCCTAAAGAAACCCTCAACCCGAAAAGTTCTAGGGCTTTGGGGCATAAACCCTCCAGGAACCCTAGAAAATATGGGGCCCTAAACCCTAAACCCTAAACCCTAATCCCTGGACCCTATCAAGTTCAGGCCCTCTCCCGCGTGACACTAGGCTACATTCGAGGCTTCGTGGCCCGTGCCCATTCTGCGCTTAGGGTTTAGGGTTTCGGGCTTCGGGCTTAGGGTTGCGAAACCCTAAACCCTCAACCCTAAGCCCTAAACCCTATAGGGGTTTATAGAGTTTAGTGCTTAGGGCGCCTGACTGCGGACGCTTGGACGTAGCAGCGCTGGGGGAGGAAGGGTTGGGGCTTGGGGTAGTTTGCGACATTGGCTCAAGGCAGCTTAGGATAGTTTAGCGAAGTTCGACGCTGAAAGTTTAAGGCTAAGCGTAGCAGGGCTTGTGGATTAGGAGAGCCTAAATTCTAAGCCCAACCAAGACCCCATAAACCCTAAACACAAGACTCTAAACCAAACCCCAAACCCCAATAAACCTTGTCAGTTCTACAAGCCTGTTTAAAGCACTGTAACCCTAAACCCTAAACCCTAAACCCTAAACCCTAGACTGTAAGCCCTTAAAACCGAGTCCGCAGGCCGGCCACGGGCCGGCTTGCAGTGGGCTCCATCAAAGCAGCGCAAGGTAGGAAGTTGGCCGTAGAGGAGGGTTTGGGGTTTAGGGTTTAGGGGATCAGGGTTTGAGGGTTTGGGGGTTTAGGGTTTGGGGTTCAGGGTCTGTGGGTTTGGGGTTTCGGGTCTGGGGTTTTGAGGTTCGGGGTTTGAGGTTTTGCGGCCTTGGGGGCGGGGGGGGGGGGGGGGGGGGGGGGGTGGTGTAGAGGGGCTTATAAACTCTAAACCCTACACCCTAAACCCTAAACCCCGAAGCCCTAAACAAAAGGGAATAAGGGCCTAGCATGGGTCCTACTCATCTTTCTCTTTCAAAGCTACGACGGCTGCTGGGAGAAGACTACCAGTCTAGGGAGATACGCAAGAGCGCTCGTTACTTGCCGGGGGGGCCCCCCTAAGGTTTAGGGTTTAGGGTTTAGGGTCTAGGGTTTAGGGTTTAGGGTTTAGGATTTAGGGTTTAGGGTTTGGGGTTTAGGGTTTAGGGTTTAGGGTTTAGAGTTTAGGGCTTAGGGTAACCCTGAAGCCTGAAAGCTCTTAAGCTTTACACTTCAGGCCAATGCTGCGCATCTGGAGCCCGGCTAGGACTCGAGATGAACCAGACCTGGGCGATTCCAGGGTTTAGGGTTTAGGGTTTAGGGTTTAGGGTTTAGGGTTTAGGGTGTAGGGTTCAGAGTTTAGGGTGAGCACTCTTATTCTAGGGTTCTGGGGTGGGGGGAGCAGGGGGGGGAGGGGGGCCTGAAGAGCGTACCAGGAGCAGTTCTAATAACCTGTCCTGAAGAAACATCACTCGAAACAAACCCGGAAACCCTAAACCCAGGTCCCAGTAAGCCAGGACCCTTAGATCACCATATGGGCAGTTCTCTAAAATAAGGGTCCCTTTCTTGGGGGGCTTTTCTATAGTACGGCACCTTGCGAAAAGGACCCCTGAAGGGGGCCCTAGAATAGAGAGCTATATTTGGAGGTTCATGGTACTTATTAACCAATCACAACTGTACTTATAACCCCACTTATAAGCCCCTTAAGTGCCCTAAGATGGTTATATATAAGTACAGTTCTAACTAAAGTTATAACTGGTTAGTATGTGCCATGAACCTCCAAGTACTACCGTATTACCCATGTCAGGACTTGGGGGGTGCTAAGGGTTTCGAGTTGTTTGGAGCCTCAGGGTTGTCTGAACGGGTTTAGGGTTATCAACACTGAGGTATTGCTGGGTTTAGGTTTAGGGTTTAGGGTTTTAGGGTTTAGGGTTTAGGGTTTAGGCGTTAGGGTTTAGGGTTTAGGGTTTACGGTTTAGGGTTTAGGGTTTAGGGTTTAGGGCTTGCGAGATCCTGGCCCCCTCCATATGACAAGTGCCTCCGATTTATTCGGAGCGAAGTTGATTCGCAGGCCGACGGACGCCAGGGCGTCAGGGACTGCAGCGGCTGCCCCTTTTACAGCCGGTATGACACCATCTGCATGTTTACACTCCCCTAAACCCTAAACCCTAAACCCTAAACCCTAAACCCTAAACCCTAAACCCTAAACTCCATGGGTATCGCCAGATCGTCCGCCCAAACAGACGAAGTGAGCAGGCTCTCCGCTGGGCAGCTGCAAGGCGAGCCCTTCTTCCTCCAATCGCAATTTGAGGCCATCGAGTGCCACGGCAAACACAATTTGAAACACCCTAAACCCTAAACCCTAAACCCCAAACCCTAAACCCTAAACCCTAAACCCTAAACCCTAAACCTAAACCCCGAAACCCTGAAACCCTGAAACCCTAGTAGACGTCTGCAAGCGGGGCGCCCCTGGACAGGTGCCCGTCACTGTGGCACACAAGTTGTCGACCCCAGCATCGGGTTTAGGGTTTAGGGTTTAGGGTTTAGGGTTTAGGGTTTAGGGTTTAGGGTTTAGGGTTTAGGGTTTAGGGTTTAGGGTTTAGGGTTTAGGGTTTAGGGTTTAGGGTTTAGGGATCCGCGCAAAACCATGGCTGACACAGCATGCCCCAGCACGTACTGCTGCACCGAGAGCGGGGCGCTCGGGTTTAGGGTTTAGGGTTTAGGGTTTAGGGTTTAGGGTTTAGGGTTTAGGGTTTAGGGTTTAGGGTTTAGGGTTTAGGGTTTAGGGTTTCGGGTTGTTAAGGGGTTTAGGGTTTAGGGTTTAGGGGTTAGGGTTTAGGGTTTAGAAACAGCAAGATGGTGCCAAAGTCATGGGAATTGACTCTTTGCAAGGCTTTGTATGCACCTAGAGAACCCTGAGCCCGAAATCCTAAGCCTTGGCCCTAAGGGATAAACCCCGAGATGGGGAAACCCTAAACCCTAAACCCCAAATCCCCGAAAACTCCCAGGCACGTCGACTTCAGGTTTAGGGTTTAGGTTTCCTCGGCTTCCAGGGTTTAGGGCTTCCAGTGTTCAGGGTTTGGGGGTGTCCAACGTTCCGGGCTTAGAGTGTGGAACCTGAACTGAACTGCGAAACTACTCCATTTTGCGTACCTGAAACTTTCAAACCCTAAACCCAAAACCCCAAACCCCAAACCCCAAACCCCTAAACCCTAAACCCTAAACCCTAAACCCTAACCCTAAACCCTCCTCTAATCAGAGTTCTAGAGACCTTCTTCCGACATCCGTTGCACTGCAGTCTTCCAATCGCAGCTGGTCGGGGAGTCCTGCCCGGGCGACGTGGACACCCAGGAGGGAAAAGAATGTGTGGGCATGCAATCTAAGGGGTTTAGGGCTTTAATCTAAGGGGTTTAGGGTTTAGGGTTTGGGGTTCAGGGTTATAGCATAACTATATAGGGACCATAAGGGAATGCTATTAAGTACTAATTACGACCCTATGTTAGTGGGCGAGTGTTGTACGTGCTGCAGGTGACGCTCATCTTATGCCATTTGCACATTTGCAGGAACTAGAAACCCGCCTCGCGACCCCGGGACCGGCGTGCCGGCGGCAGCGTCGGCATCGCCAGGGGCTCGGACAGCGTGCCCTATTGCAGGAAGGGATTTAGGGTTTAGGGTTTCGGGTTTTAAGGGCTTCACGGGGTTTAGGGTTGAGGGTTGAGGGTTTAGTGTTTTGGGTTATTAGGGGTTTTAGGGCTTTAGGGTTTTGTTTAGAGCTTTCGGGGGTTTATAGAGTCTTAGGGCTTTAGGGGTTTTGGGGCTTCAGGCGTTTTTAGGGCTTTCGGGGGTTTATGGTCCTGAACCCTAAACCCTAAACCCTAAACCCTAAACCCCAAACCCTAAACCCTAAACCCTAAACCTCAGGGTAGTGGGGTCTGAGGGAGGGCACCGGACACCCGCAGGGTAGGAGGTGAGATGGTGAACCCCTAGGCCTCGCATGGGCCGCACCAGGAGGATGCCTTAAGTGGGTTTAGGGTTTAGGGTTTAGGGTTTAGGGTTTAGGGTTTAGGGTTTAGGGTTTAGGGTTGAGGGTGTTGCCGATTTTCCCCTCCTCCCCCCCTACCGTTTTTGTTCATAACCTCCAGTGCAGGAGCCTGCACCGCCAGCACAGTGGTCTGTTGCTGTGTTTATAGGGTCCTTAAAGGAGGGGGGATTATGGGGGGGGTTGGTACCTACTCGCGACCAGGTGAAAACCCTTTACATACATACGTACATACATACATACATACAGACATACATACATACTTACATACATACATGCATGCATACATACATACATAAATGCTTACAAACATACATGCATACATACACACATACATACATTTCTAAATACACACACATACAATAAGAATCATAATCATAAAAGAACAAGAAACAACTAATAATGATCACAATCATAATCAGAATAATCATAATGATCACAACAAGAACAGTAGAAATAATGACGATGATAATACATGTACATCTACATACGCATACCTGAAATGTATATGTATACAAACATGCATATATATATATATGTATATACATATATGTATATATATATAATATAATATAATATAATATAATATAATATAATATAATATAATATAATATAATATAATATAATATAATATAATATAATATAATATAATATAATATAATGTAATATAATATAATATAATATAATATAATATAATATAATATAATATAATATAATATAATATAATTAATATATATATATATATATATATTTGGATGGTGTCAAACAGAACTCAAGAGCCGCCTTTGCCCCCGCCGAGCTCGACGTGTTGGCGGCGGCCGTGTTGGCGGCTCCGGGTGTGGACGTGGAAGGACGAGGCGTTCCTTAAGGGCTTCTGAACTGCTTCCTGGGGTTTAGGGTTTAGGGTTTAGGGTTTGGGGTTTAGGGTTTAGGGTTTAGGGTTTAGGGTTTAGGGTTGAGGGCTTGCAAGGAGTGGGCCCTTCTTCTTACACCGACTTTAGCTAAGGGAATAATATAACCTAAATGGTAAGACTTACCCAACTTAGGAGCCTTACAACCACATTTCCATCTAAGGGGCCCTTACTTGTATGTCTTCCTGGGGCTTGAGGGTTTAGAGTTTAGGATTTAGGGCTATGGGCCGTTCTCTTCAACTCTGGCCTATGGCTAAGCCTCGGCTAAGACCACTACCTACCAATATGACGTCAAAACCACGCTGAGATCTACGGCTGAAGTCCTGACAGCCCTTTAGGTCCTGTCATAACCCTAAACTACCCCTAAAAGTCCTCCAAACCCAAAACCCAAAACCCAAAACCCAAAACCCAAAACCCTAAACCCTAAACCCTAAACCCTAAACCCTAAACCCAAACCCCAAATCCTATAAAAAAGCAATATCAAACCCCAAACCTGCTCGCCGGGAGGCGCGGGCCTTTCGGCGTCGCCGTGGTCTCCTGCACAGGTGGCCAGGTCGCCAGGTCGCAAGCATCTACTCAGATGTTCATCACAAATACAGAAAGAAATATAAAGTAATATATATCTATATATTTACATACATAGTAAGAAATGTGTATATATTTGTGTATATATATACATATCTATATATATATATATATATATATATATATATATATATATTTGTTCACATATTTATTGTATAACATATGTGTATATAATATATGTGTGTGTATATATATATATGCAATGGCAACCTTTGACAGTAGGGTTTAGGCGTTGGGGCTTAGAATGGCTAGGGGTTTCGAGTTGTCTGGCAACGTTACACCCCTAAACTCGATGTGGCTACGGGGCCACTCCCCGAACCTGCAAACGCCCACGTCGGTGTTGATGTTTGGGGCTTAGGGCGTTTAGGGGGCTGAAGGTTATGAACCTTTTTTCTCCATCTCGACCTTAAGTCTGAGAGGTGCAAGGCCTTTCAATTAACTTCTCAATATCAGTTAAAGCCCAGACACCACCCCCCCCCCCCTTTTCCCTAAACGCATTCAAGCCCCAAACCCCAACACCCAGCAGAAACCAACAAAACAAACCAACCCCCCAAATCGCAAATCCTCAACCCCAAACCTAAACCCTAAACAACCCTAAACCCCAAAAACCCGAAACCCAAAACCACCTAACCCCCAAAGGCCCAGCAGGCCTTCCGGCGCGCTTCCACGCTGCTGGTGCGGCTGCGGCTCTCCTTGGCAGCCCAGCAGCCGTATTACAATAAGGGCACCCTTTTTGGGGTTGGTTACTTTGACCCCCAAACCCTGCACACCAAACCCTAAGCCCCAAACCCTAAGCCCTAAGCCCTAAGCCCAAAACCCAAAACCCAAAACCCAAAACCCAAAACCCAAAACCCTAAACCCTAAACCCTAAACCCTAAACCCTAAACCCTAAAGCCTAAACCCTAAACCCTGAACCCTAAACCAAGCACAAGGGTAAAGGGCTACCACTGGGCTACCAAGTCTCCAGGCTGGCCATGGTGCTGGGCGTCGTCAGGGGCACCTGGCGCGAGGAGGGCTTGGCATTCCAGGCTTGAGGCTGTTTAGGGTTTAGGGTTTAGGGTTTAGGGTTTAGGGTTTAGGGTTTAGGGTTTAGGGTTGAGGTTGTTTAGGGTCTAGGGTTTAGGGTTTAGGGTTGAGGTTGTTTAGGGTTTGGGGTTTCGGGTTTAGGTAGAGGTTGAGGCTGCTTAGGGTTCAAGATTCAGGTTTTAGGGGTCTAGGATTCAGGGTTTAGGTTGTTTAGGGTTGAAGGTTCTGGTTGTAGAGGGCTTAGTATTCAGGGTTAAGGTTTTTTTTTTTGGGGGGGGGGGGTTGGGTTTGAGGTTGAGGTTGTTTAGGGTTTAGGGTTCAGGGGGGTTAGGGTTTCAGGGTTGAGGTTGTTTAGGGGGCTTAGGATTCAGGGTTGAGGTTGTTTGTGGTCTAGGGTTGAGAGAGCTTAGGGTTCAGGGTTAGGGTTTGAGGTTTTAGGCTTAGGTTGCCCAATTCTTTAGCAGTCGTCAGGGCGGCCCGCTATGCAAGAGGTGGGTTGTCAAAAGTGAGTACCCCAAAGCACTTCTCGGGGTCGCGAGGCATCTTGCGCCATGCAGCAGCGTTCTTCCCCCTTTCTCACTGGACGCAGCTGGGTCGCCGGAAGACTGTTGCTCACTCGCCACTGGGGAAGACCAAACTGCCAACACCTGGAGGACCAACAGCCGAGTGATGTTGCGAGCCTCGCGCCGTCGCCGGCGTGCCAGCACATCTTGGAGATCCAGGTTCTGGAACTTCCGTCTAGGCCTTGGACAGCTTATGGAAGAGCCCGAGGTGTTGAAATCAGATAGGGGGCATATTGGGTACCCCAGAAAAGTTCCTCAGAAAATATGGGAGATGGAAAGGAACGTTAAAAGAACAACGCATAAAACCACAAAAATAAAGAGCCCAGAAATTTGGAAATGTACTTTCGGAGGCCATGCCTACCCTAAACCCCCCCTAAACCCCCCCTTCGGTGCTTTCACGCACTTTGCTCAGGCCGTAGCGACCAGGAGCAACGCCCCATAGCAGAGCTGTCCAGCAATCTAAAGCAGCGCTGCTTGAAAGTTCTCAAGTCTGCAGCATCAAATCTAAGGCTCTTGCCGGGGAAGATTCCAAAGACAGGTGGTTTGAGGGCTTCGGGGGGGTTTTGGGTTTTAGGGTTTCGAGGTATGGGCTTATGAAGCCCTTAACTCACAAAAGCCTGCAACCTCAACGTCCCCCAAAAAGCTCTCTGTTCGCCCCAAGGCGTTGAAACCCTAAACCCCCCTAAACCCTAAACCCCCCTAAACCCTAAACCCCCCTAAACCCTAAACCCCCCTAAACCCTAAACCCTAAACCCTAAACCCTAAACCCTAAACCCTAAACCCTAACCCTAACCCTAAACCCTAAACCCTAAACCCTAAACCCTAAACCCTAAACCCTCCAACCCCACACCTAGCCATCCACGCCCGCAGCCTCCAAAAAGCCGCGTGGCTTCCCTAAACCGCAATCCCCGCAAACCCGACAACCCTAAAACCTTCACGACACTTAAGAGCCCTTACGAGCCCTAAAACCCATAAAGCACCCACCAAAAACCCATACAAGCTCTGAAAAAACATTTTAAAAACTGTAAAACACCCACTGAAAGCCCTAAGCATTGTAAAGCAAATCCCTTAACAAGCCATTCAAAAGCCAAAAACAACACTTTTGGAAAACCTCTAAATAGCCCCCTTTGAAAGCCCACAAAAAACATGAATTAAACCCCCCCCCCCCCCCCCCCCCCCACCAGAACAAAAACACAAGAAACAGAACCAGCCTTGGACTGCTGTCGCATCTTGTCGTAGGCGTCGCGCAACTCGGAGGCGAGCTCTTCCTGTCGAGGAGGTTTAGGGTTTGGATTGACGGTTCAGGCTTGAAGGTTTAGGAGTTTAGGGGTTTAGGGTTTTTGAAGTTGAACAAGCTCAGGAGTCAACAAAAGATGCATTCTTCGGTTTGATTGGATCCCTTTGCCTCAGCCCCACTTCAGAGCCCTTTTGACTTAGTAAGTCTTCTTTGCATCCCCTAGAAGCCCCGTAATAGGCCCCATAACCCACCTTACTAAATCTACTTGCCCAAAACCCCAAACCCAAAACCCAAAACCCTAGACCCTAAACCCCAAACCCTAAACCCTAAACCCCAAACCCCAAACCCTAAACCCTAAACCTTGCTAAGCCCTGGGAATGCTTAAGACACAAGCTTAACTCGGGAATTTTCGGTTTGCGTGTTCTGATTTTTCAGGGGGCTTGGCGCGAACATGAACTGCGCAGTTTGCGGTCGTCAGTCACCTCCGGCTGACTCACGACATGGTTTTTCTTGCTTTCATCCGTCATCATCATCGCTCTCAGCTGACGATGTCCCAGCGATTCCGGGCGTTTCCGGATCACCCGGAACCGCCCAGAACCGCCCGGAACCGTCCGGAAGCGCCCGGAAGCGCCCGGAAGCACCCGGAAGAGCCCGCAGTGTATTTTGAAGAGATGCCGGTCTGGACGGTTTGGATGCCAAGGGTCAGGAATGCTTAAGACATAAGTCTCGGGCTCTTAGGGGTGCTTCCGGGAGAACCAGAACCGCCGGAACCGTCAGGAACAGCCCGGAACCGCCCGGAAGCCGCCCGCAACCGCCCGGAACGGCCCACCGGGAGCTTGGGGGGCGGGCGTGGGGGGAGGGATGGGAAGGGATGGGTGCGGGAGGGTAGGGGTGCTGGGGGAAGTGTTAGAGGGGGCGGGGGGTGGGGGGGGTGTGCAGGGTTGGTGGAAAAGATGGGCCTGGTTTGTGAAAGTGTATAGGAGTAAATCTATTGATGACCATGACCCTTCACAAGAATGATCGGATGACGTTGTTAAAATCCCCACCGAACCTAAACTCGGCAATGGCTAGAGCTTTAGGGAACCTTTCAAAGGCCCGAGGCTTAATATGTGCAACTCTGACATGAACCCTTCCCGACCCTTAAGCCCTTGGAATGCTTAACATATAAGATGCCTTACGAAAATCGTAAGCAGGCCCATTGCAGTATGTATCTTCTCGGTTTTATGGCTCCATGCCTCAAAACTTATGTTAAGCATTCCCAGGGCTGGGCAACCTAAACCCTAAACCCTAAACCCTAAACCCTAAACCCTAAACCGCGCTGACTAAGTCAAAAGGCCTCCACGCAAAGCCCTGGCGCCTTGGTCTGCAGCTCCTTCTGCAGTGTCTCGGTGATCAAGTCGATCTGCTGATAGTACCTCATGGCTTCCCTAGAGGGGTTTAGGGTTTACGGTTTAGGGTTTAGGGCTTGGGTTTAGGGTTTAGGGTTTAGGGTTTAGGGTTGCCACCCCCCTCTATACTGCCCCCCTAGGTTCCCCCTACAGATAATTAAGCCTAATTAAGGTTATTTAAGGGGGGGGAATCTAGGTGGGGTAGTATAGAGGGTGGTAATTAGTAGCACCCATGATAAGCCCCACACCCCAACCCCCAAGCCCTCACCACCCCTGACCCCCAAATCCCTAAAACCCCTAAACCCGCGCGAAACACCATTCTAGAACACGTCAGATTTGAAAGGCGTGTATGCCACGATGGAGCAGAATAGCTGGTTCTACATGGATCGATTACTGCATCACAAGCAGACTAATAATATTCTTGGTGTGCACATCATAGCATTCCCTTCGTACTCATATACTGTACCGTAATGCAGCAGATCAAGAGTGCTTCCGAATATGCTCCCCTGAGCACCACAACAGTATTTGTAGAGGATGTATATATATATATATATATATATATGTAAATTGTATGTGTAGATATATGTATATGTATATTTACTTATTTGTGTGTATTCTCACATGGAGTGGATCAATGGCTCGTACAACGAGAACTGTCTCTACAGCGAAATAATATGGGTATGTCCCAAAATAGGGGTACCCCTTTTATGCCCCAAATAGAATAGAATCCCCTTAAGTGGACCCCCAAAAAGGGTACCCCTACTCCCATCTGCAGAGAGTTCTTGACATTTATATCAGCATGCGTGCTCAATGAAACAAAACTGATCCAAATCATCCTTTGCAGGCCCCTAAACCCTACACCCTACACCCTACACCCTTCACCCTACACCCTAAACCCTAAACCCTAAACCCCTAACCCCTAACCACTAATACACTAAGCCCTAAGCCCTAAGCCCTAAGCCCTAAGCCCTAAGCCCTAAGCCCTAAACCCTAAACCCTAAACCCTAAACCCTAAACCCTAAACCCGAAACCCTAAACCCTAAACCCTAAACCCTACTCTACTACTAGGAAAGTCCCAGAAGCAGCTGCAGCTGCTCTTGGAGGTCCGCGCGCTGCTGCTCCAGCCTTCCGCGCACAGCTGATGCCCTTAATGTTTTGGAGTTTGGGCCTCGGGTTTAGGGTTTAGGGTTTAGGGTTTAGGTTTCGGGCTTAGGGTTTAGGGTTTAGGTTTTAGGGTTTAGGGTAAAACTCAACCCGTTGACAATAAACCCCACAGACTTCCAGCCTGAAAACAAAGCTGTGAAAGCCTAAGACCACAATCCCTAAACCACCCTGAAGCCCTAAATGCACTCCAAGCGTACTGCCAGGGGGGGGGGGGGACTCTCAAGGCTTTCAGGGCTTAGGCCGCTTATTTGATTATAACATTCAAGGGCAGCTGGAGATAAGCCTACAACATGTTGGTTTTAATTGCCGAACACCCAGAAAGTTGAACTCCAGAACGCGCGACTCATTTGGGGGTTTACAACAATTGGGACCCCCTAAAATGGACCCGGACCGAGTGCAGAGGCAGCATGCTTTGGCAGCTCCCCCAATGGTGCTTGGACTGTGGAACGATGCGGTCCCTTTGAATAGTGACCGCAGTCAGTGGTTGGAGTGTATCACCCCCAAATAGTAGGATCCCCTTGGAATAAGTACCCCAATAAGGTACCCCTAAATTCGGAAACCCCCATTTGAGCCAGGAAGCTGCTGCGCATACTCCATCATTTCACGCAGGCGCTCCTGTAAAGATCAGATTATTGTCAAAGAAAGGGTCTATTGATGTTTTTTGGGGGGATGCCCAAAACCCTGTAGCCATTTAGCAACGTGCTACTGGCCCAACCCCTTTCCCCCCCGCCCCCCCCCGCAAGACCCTAAACCCTGAACCCTAAATTCTAAGCCCTTACCTCCAGAAGCCCCGAATTCAAGACCTAGGGAACCTTGAAACTTTCCCTTAACCCATAAGAACTTATGAAGCCTAAGAGCAGTAAGCCCAGAAGCCCGGCATTGTCTGGGGGTTCATATCTATAGTTTAGGATTTAGGGGTTTAGGGTTGAGGGTTTAGGGCTACCAGGGGTTAGGCATCATTTACCCCACAAGATACCACATGCAGGGACGTGCCTTTCAAAGAACAGTTGTGGAGGATCGGGTTCCTGTTGAGATTGCCTGGTGTATGCCTAAGCCCCAGACCTCAAACCCTACATCCTGAACCCTATGCAATGGCTGCTGTTGTTTCAGAAAAGATGCACGCCTCCAAGGCCTCGAAAGGCCTCGCTCAGGGCCCCCTAAGCCCTACAGTATGGCCAATGCAACCCCGGACCCCAAACCGTACATAGGTTAGGGTTTAGGGCTTAGGGCTTAGGGCTTAGGGCTTAGGGTTTAGGGTTTAGGGTTTAGGGTTTAGGGTTTAGGGTTTAGGGTTTAGGGTTTAGGGTTTAGGGTTTAGGGTTTAGGGTTTAGGGCTTAGGGTTTCGGGTTTCGGGTTTCGGGTTTCGGGGAGTCCTCCATGGAGTCGGAGTGAAGAGCATGGGCCGAAGCACGAGTCTCCATGTGCCACTCGCGAAAGCTTGCCGCGAGCCTTGGTCTGCCAAACCCTGAACCCTAAACCCTAAACCCTAAACCCTAAACCTTAACCCCTAAACCCTAAACCCTAAACCCTGAACCCTGAACCCTAAACCCTAAACCCTAAGCCCTAAACCCTTCATCCTCCTAAACATTCCCAAGCCCAAATGGGGGGTTTCCGAGATGGGGTACCTTACTGACTGGGGATCCTTATAATCCAGGGACCCTACTACTTGGGGATCCATATTGAGGGTCCCCTATTTTCGTAAACTTCCGAAATCTTTACAAAAGTGCACTTGCAGATGCCCTACATACCCCCTTATGAAGGTCCCACTAGGATGCCCCCTTTAGGGCATCGGATCAACAGAAAGCAACACAAACCCGGAACCCAGAACTCCAAACCCGGAACCAGGAAGGCTTTGGAGATTCTCGGGGTGTCTCGAAGAATGTGATAACTTACCCTAAACCCTAATCCCTAATCCCTAAACCCTTATTAAGGGCTTAGGGGGTTTCAGGCCCTGAGCACTACGCTCCACCACCAGCGCCCCTAAGGGGCCCCGTGATGTGCCGATGCAAGCCAGGAAGCAGCGCACCCGCATTCTTCTGCAGGTGCTTGCCCAGAATGTACCTTAACATTCATGTGTTTTTGCTTCTTTGCGTTTTCTGATTAATTTGGATGGATTTTGTTGGGGAGGATTTAGGGTTAAGGGTTTAGGCTTGGAGGGGGGGTTTGGACTTAGCATGTACCTCGTGGAGAAGGTGGGTGTGTGCTCCGTGCTGCTGCTATTTCCATGTGGTGGGTAATATCCTCTTTACATAAAACAAAAATACATGTACATATCCGCCGACCCCAGCGGTAGCAGGGCGGCGTCAGTGAAGACCCCCCACCGCCCTCACCGCCCTCACCCGCTCTCACAGCATGCTGCTCATGACACCTTGAATTGGAGTGTTTTTGCATTGTTTGGCTTCAGTGCATGCACAAACCCCGCCACCCATCGCCCTCACCCATGACGCCTTGAATTGGACCTTTGACCCCCCCACCCCATCCACTCAGGTTAAAGGGCCACCCCCACCCCCCCCCCCACGCCCCCCCACCCCCCCCCACCCCCCCACCCCCCCCCCAACCCCACCCCCCCCCCCCCACCCCCCCCCCCACCCCCCCCCCCCACCCCCACCCCCCCCCCCACCCCCCCCCACCCTCCCCGCCGTTCCCCCCAACCCTCTCTGAAACCCCACGCCCCCTCCCCCCCCTCCCCCTCCTCGCCCCCCACCCCCACCCCCCACCCCCCACCCTGTAGGCCCCTGCTCCACCCCCACCCCCTCCCCCCCCCCACCCCCCCACCCTTCCCTCCAGGCCCCTCCCCCCTGGTACCGGAAGCCCAAAACCAGGCGGGCATCATGAGCATCAGCAGCCCTGGCCCGCGGACCCAAGGCAAGAAAAAACGCTGAAAAACGCTGAATCACCGTAAATACCGTGTTTTTATGAGGGTTTTCACGCGTGCCTCCGACCCCCACCCTTGTTGCCCTTGACCCGCCCCCAAAGTGCGCATCATCGAAACCCACGTCGGGGGGGGGTCTGCTGATGCTGCTGATGCGCGGGGTCCGGGGCATCATCGAGCCATCGTTTCTCATGTGGGCTTCGTGGGCCTCCGGGCCCACGGCCCAGAGACCCAGCTGATGCTCATGATGCTCGGTTTGGGGGGGTGTTCCAACAGCAGAAAACCTCGTAAATACCGAGTGTTTTGTGGGTCCACGTAAAAACGCCCCTAAAATCGCTCATTTTACGCGCTCGAACGGCTTCGTGCCTACAAAACATTCGGGGTCTTGCTTTTGGGGGTTTCGTGGGCACGCAAGCGTTCAAGCACATACAATCGGCGTGTTTGAGGGGGTTTTGGATGGCCTGGGGGAGGCCGCTGATGCTCATGATGCTCCCTTTCCTGGGCCCCAAAAGGCTTCCCAAGCCCAAAAACACGTGTTTACAGCGTTTTCTGAAGGTTTTTCGAAGGCAAAACGCATGCATAGAATGCTTTTAAGGCCCCCAAACCAACCCCACTGATGCTCCTGATGCGGGTGCGCGCGCGCGCGCGCGCGCGCGCGCGCGCGGGGGGGGAGGGAGGGGTGGCGAAGGCAGGAGAAAGAGAGACAGAGAGAAGGAGAGGACAAAGACACGGGAAAGAGAAGACAGTGCCAAGGTTCAAGGTTTCGTGCTTTGGGGGGCGGGGGCCGGCCCGTGCCGCTAGGCCTGAAAATATGTGTACATAAAGGTATGTGTGTTGATTTAAGCAAACACAAAGCGTTATGCGTTGGATTTCTGAAGTGGGGTACATACTAGGGTCCGGTTCATACCAAGGCTTTGATGAGTGTATCCAAAGCTCGTTGAAGCACATAGTGGTGAGTGAACCCTTCCTGCTGAGCCCGAAACACTTAAAACATGCGCCGATCTGCGAGCCTTGCACCTGAACCCCTAATGGCCCTCAAGTAGCCTTTCATGAGGACCGCAGTAACGGGGAGGTACTCGGGGATCTTAAAGAGTACTTGGGAGGTCTAGGTGACCAAGCAACCTCGAACAGCCTCAAGCAAACCCTAAACCCTATACGGTACCTAAGCCCTAAACCCTAAACCCTAAACCCTAAACCCTAAACCCTAAACCCTAAACCCCCATTAAACCCTAAAGCCGAACCCGCAAGGCCACAAAGCCTCGAGCAATAAACCCTTGCGGCCCCAAGCAACCCGCAACCGGCAAACCCCAAGTCTTCAACCCTAAACCCGAAGCCCTAAACCCTAAACCCTAAACCCTAAACCCTAAACCCTAAACCCTAAACCCTAAACCCGAAACCCAAAGCCGCAAAGCCCAAAACATAAAACCCTGAAGAGACAGCACCCTGCAAGGAGAACTTATAAGGTACTCTGTACCTCCACCCTAAACCCTAAACCCTAAACCCGAAACCCCAAGCAGCTTGCTGTCGGAAGCCGAGGAACTCCGAGTATTTTTGCATCTGAGAGTTGTGGCTCCTGGGGCGTTCAAGGCATCTAGGGTTCAGAGGCCCCAAGTAGCCCTAAACCCTAAACCCTAAACCCTAGACCCTAAACCATAAACCCTAAACCCTAGACCCTAAACCCTAAACCGTAAATTACACATTAAAGAATCCCTGGCCCAAACCCAGCACCCTGCTACGCGTTTTCGATTCAGGGTTTTAAGGCTTCGGTTTAGGGTTTAGGTTTTAGGTTCAGGGTTTGGCGTGTAGTCTTCGCACAGATGCTTCTGCAAATATTGACTATTTCTGAGGGTTTAGGGTTTAGGGTTTAGGGTTTAGGGTTTAGGGTTTAGGGTTTAGGGTTTAGGGTTTAGGGTTTAGGGTTTAGGGTTTAGGGTTTAGGGCAAAATCAAACATCTGATACATTATCTTAAGAGCAGCTTATGGTTTAGGCTTTCGGGCTTGGGGTACAGCGTGCAGGGACTACCGGGGCTGATTCTCAGGCCCAGCTTCCCAACTATCTTGAAGCCTATCGGTGTAGATTAAAGCCTCCGTGCAGCAAGGTTGACTGATTGAAGCTTTCAGGGCTTACTGTAAGGCCTTGCAGGGCTTACTGTAAGGGCCTTAATCATTGGAGTAGGGGTTGTGGGGGATTGTCATAGTCTATTTATAGGGACCACAAGGGAAAACTACTAGTATTTGCTCCGACCCCTACATTGATGTTCAGGGTTCGTTCGGGATTGAGGTCCAGAAACTGGCTTAGGGGTTTCGGCTGTCGGGCAGCGTAAGCCTTAACCACTGTACGTGAAGGCCAAACCCAAACTAGGCCACCAAATACCCACTACCCTTAATATCCTCTACCCCTAAACCCTGAACCCTGAACCCTGAACCCTAAACCCTAAACCCTAAACCCGAAACCCCTAGGCGAGCGACAGCTTCACCATCTTCTCCAGCTTCTCAGTGTCCCAGAGGTATGCCCAAGCTGAGAAGTACCTGCAGCTTTAAACCCTAAACCCTAAACCCTAAACCCTAAACCCTAAACCCTAAACCCTAAACCCTGAACCCTAAGCCCTAAACCCTAAACCCTAAACCCCTTTAGGGTTGAGGCAAGATTGAAAAGTTTAGGGCTTAGGGTGTCGCTAAACCCTAAACCCCGAACCCAAGTTTCCAGGGCCCCTACCACCTCTCAGGTTCTCTTTCTTGACGATTATGGCCCCCGATTGTGGAAGGCAGATCCATCCTACCCGAATGGTTAGGGGCTTAGGGTTTAGGGTTTAGGGTTGAGGGTATAGGGTATAGGGTTTAGGGTTTAGGGTTTAGGGTTTAGGGTTTAGGGTTTAGGGTTTAGGGTTTAGGGTTTAGGGTTTAGGGTTTAGGGTTTAGGGTTTAGGGTTTAGGGTAATGCTGCAAGCCTACACATACACTAAGTGCTTGTTGTCTGAGACATTTAGGGGCTGAAGCAGTTAGGGGGTTTTAGGGGGGCGAACTTTGTGAGGCTTCCTTTCAGCCTGCTGTGGGGTGGGGATTGAAATGTTTCCAAAACTCACGTCCTCTGTGCACCTCAAGTCGCAGAATACCCGTAAACAGGACCCTACTACCCTACCCCACTACCATCTAATACCACTCCCTCATACCCCCATACCCTCATGCCCCAAAGCTCAATGCATGCAAGAGTTGTTTCCGATTCTGAAGCCAAAAGGACTCGGGAAGCAGATGCTTGGAATCGATGATTCCTCCCCAACAATGCCCGAACTGTACTTCTTCCTAAGCGGGAACACACGGCCACCGTTGCCTCATCACATCATGCACATCTGCGAGTTCTTGTCGAGATCGCTCAACAATGGTTGTGTCGGTGGATTCCACTTCTGATGAAGCTGTCCGAGCGGCAATTCTGTTCAGACACCTTCGGGCACCGGGACCCCTCAGATCTCGATTTGCCTGGCCCATCCCGGCTACCACACGGTCACCTGCCACCTTCCGACTGCCCCTCTCCAGCGCCCAGAAGTTACAGCAGCCTGCCCAGAGAGCCCAATACCCATAGAGGAATAGACCTTAATATCAAAACCCTAAACCCTAAACCCTAAACCCTTTTATGATTTGAGGTACATGCCTTAACTAAGGGGGGTAGGGGGCTCTTTGGGTGTTCGTGAGGACGAACTTACTCACAACCCCAGCTCTGCCAGTAAAGACTTAAGTTGCCCACCAGTTTCATTGCAGCTAACAGGTTTAGGGTTTAGGGTTTAGGGCTTAGGGCTTAGGGTTTGGGTTTAGGGTTTAGGGTCTATAGGATGGAAGATCTGATAACACAGAAGCCCACAGTCGCCACAGCCCGCCGCTCTAAACTCTTCAGGGGTTGGGGGGTTAGGGTGCCTAGACCCAAGAGTAACCTGGGAATAATAAGGGTAACTATCCTTTTTGCTTTAGAGGGGCTTATATACGGGAACCTAAAGCCCCCCCAAAAAAAGGGAATCAGGGCCCACTCTGGGGTCCTAGGTTTATAGGGTTTAGGGTTTACCTCCAGGTCCCCCTCCAAACCCCAAACCCCAAACCCCAAACCCCAAACCCTAAACCCTAAACCGCAAACCCTAAACCCTAAACCCTAAACCCTAAACCCTAAACCCTAAACCCTAAACCCTAGACCCTAAACCCTAAACCCTAAACCCTAAACCCTAAACCCTAAACCCTAAATCCTAAACCCTAAACCCTAAACCCTAAACCCTAAACCCTACACACTCTGCGCCAGGCCACTCGGCCAAGATGACGCGCGTCCGCTTGCAGCCCATGCCATCCAGCGCGCGGGCAATCAGCTGGTGTCCTTGGGATAGGGTGGGGTTTAGGGCTTTAGGGCTTTAGGGCTTTAGGGCTTTAGGGGTTTAGGGGTTTAGGGGTTTAGGGGTTTAGGGGTTTAGGGGTTTAGGGGTTTAGGGGTTTAGGGGTTTAGGGGTTTAGGGGTTTAAGGGTTTAGGGGTTTAGGGGTTTAGGGGTTCAGGGGTTTAGGGGTTTAGGGGTTTAGGGGTTTAGGGTTTAGGGTTTAGGGTTTCGGGTTTAGGGTTTAGGGTCTAGGGATTAGGGTTCAGGGTTTAGGGTTTAGGGGTTTAGGATTTAGGGGTTTGGGGATTTTGGGTTTAGGGTTAGGGTTTGGGGCTTAGGGTTTAGGGTTTAGGATTTAGGATTTAGGGTTTAGGATTTAGGGGTTTGGGGGGAGTTCGGGCTTAGTTATAGGGTTGTTAGGGGAGGGGGGTTCATGGGGGCGGTAGGTACCGAGGCAACCTCCGGGAAGCTTCGGGAGACTTAGGGTGTAGGGGTCAAGGATTAGGGAGGGGTCCATGCCCAATGCCGAGGCATCCCAAGGCAACCCTAAACCCCGAAACCTCGAAACCCCTAAACCGCGAAGCCCTAAACGTAATTCCGTAAACCCCAAACCCTAAACCCCCATATAGACTCGAAACCCCTGAACCCTTAGTTCGCTAAACCCCTAAAGCCCTAACCCTAAACCCGCATGTGCTCACGACGACTGCGGCTCCGGGGGGGTTTTTATGGGGAGGGGAATTCAGGGAGTCCGAGGGTTTTAGTGTTTCAGGGCTTAGGGGGTTCAAGGGCTTAAGGGTTTAGGATTGTCGGGGTTTATGCAAGATGTCCTCGGAAGGGCTTAAGGTTTAGGGTTTTTGTTGAATTAGGAGAGGTTTTGGGTTTAAGTAGGGTGAGTCAGCTGTGCAGCCTCAGTCTCGTTTCTGTTCCGCTGCCTCGTGCTGCCTTTCCAGCTCCTGGTTGCAAGTCAAGTGAAATCTGGGAGGGGGGGCTTAGGGTTTAAGGTTTAGGGTTTAGGGTTCAGGGTTTAGTGTTGAGGGTTTAGGGTTTGGGGTGTAGGGCCTTAGGGTGTGTCACATGCTACGCACACGCCACCGCGCCGTGTGTTGTCGAGGGAAAGCACCAGTATGAAGACCATAAGCTCCCTTTGGAAGTCGTTTTACACCAATATGACGAGCGCATACAACACGGTACCTTCATTCACTTGAAGATTGACCAGAAGGCCCCCTTTTTAATGTATATTGGGGCCGTCTTGCAGGCCGCTATTAACAGCATACTCACCCTTCGGTACAGTTTGAATCTGGGTGTGTTCATATTATCGCTCAGTCGTTGCAGCGGTTGCCCTTGAAACCCTCTGAAAATATTCCTGAATATGGATATTTCCCAAAATAGGGGTATCCTTAATACCAATAAAGGGAAAATATGAAATGTCCCAAGGGCCTACCGAGTCTGCATTCCCATGTAGCACTAAAAAAAAACCTGGAAACCCCGTCAACCCTAGAAACTTTATAAACCCAGCAAAGCCTAGAAACTCTAACCCATCCGCTCCTCCAGTTGCACTAGCCGCTCTCGCTCCGCCTCTTCTCGCTCCCTCTCGCCTGGCTCGGAAAGGGTTCAGTTAGGGTTTAGGATTTAGGGGTTTATAGGGCTTAGTGGTTTAGGGCTGGGCTTGGGATAGGGATGTGTGGGGTCGATCAACTGGGGCAACTGGGGTTTCAGGCTTTTTCGGGATGTAGCGCCCCCAGCCCTCACCCGAACACCACCTATAAACCCTCATCCCTACAGCCTCAGTTGATTGGAATGTTGGTGGCCCCTGTGGCTTCGGGTGTAAGGCTAGGACCCCAAAACAAAGACAAGAAACAGTTGGGATGTTCCCCCTTATACTAACAGTCCTTAGTAGGGATTACAATAAGGGACGGTTAGTATAAGGGGGAACATCCCAGCCCTAAAGCGTGAAACCAGAGGCCTCAAACAAGAAACTCCTGGCCCACAGCTTTTAGCCCTCAGCCGCAATGAAAAAACCTTTAGGGTTGAGGGTGTAAGTACAGGGCGTATACTGTTTAGGATAGATTCCTGGGTATCGAGCAGTTTCATTCACTAAGAACCCATGACTTGTTCCCCAAAACCCTCAACACCGAAACCGTAACCCTATAAACCCCACAAAACCCTCTGAACCCTACAAACACTATAAACCCCTTTAAAGGAGGTTGGGGACCATGCTAAGGGCCCATGTGACTGCCCTTAGTCAAGGGACTAAGGGAGGGACCCTAAAAAGGGACCCTAGGGGGTTATTTGGGGGTTATTGCGGGGCGACTTTAGGTATATAGGGACAGGTATATATACGATATATAGGGCAAGAAGATTAAGAGTCCCTTCTAGGGGGCCCCTCCTTATACCTTGGGATGTTCCCCGGTATACTAACAGTCCTCAATAGGGATTTTAATACGGGGTACTATAATCCCTATTAAGGACGGCTAGTATAAAGGGGAACATCCCAACTTATACCCTTATTTTACATATCCTCTTGGGTGTTGTATGAACAAAAGTAAAAAATGATATCCAAGGGGGATATAGTGGATCAACACCGAGAACCGTCGCCTATGGAGAGCTCGTGCCAGGCTCGGAGCGCCATACCTTGGCTCGGAGCTGCTGTGGCCCTAAGCACCTAAACCTTGGAGCCCAAACGCGAAACCCTAAACCCTAAACCCCAAACCCGAAAGCCCAAACACTCCCCCCTAAACCCCTCCACTATGCCTTTAAGTTGGGGGTTTGGGGGCTTGGGGGCTTGGGGGCTGGGGGGTTTGGGGGTTTGGGGGTTTGGGGGTTTGGTGGTTTGGGGGTTTGGGGGGTTTGGGGGTTTGGGGGGTTTGGGGGTTTGGGGGTTTGATTTTTTCAAAAGCTTATGTGAAAAAATTAGGGGGGGCCATACTGGGGTCCTGATTATGAAGGAATCTTACTATTTGGGTGACTATATAAGGGGCCCCCGTATTTTCGTAAAATCCCTAGGCTTAGGAAATAGTGATATTGTTCTAGTTGGGAGGGGGCGGCAGGCCTCTTATGTTTCACTTTCGTTCGCATTTCTTCTTGGAATTGCGTGTGATTCAACTGGGTGAGCCCAATGCGTTCGCACCATCGAACTGTGATGCCCAAGCAGCACAAGAACTATTGCCGGTCCCTTCCGAGACACTCGAAAATGGGATGTCTCGTGCCGTGACCTGCGAACGAACCCGAAATCCAAACAACCAAGTTGCCTAACCCTAAACCCTCAACTCCAACCCCTAAACCCTTAACTTACCTTGCACGCCAAGATCCCACCTACTAGCCGACGGGAGCATGAGCATCAGCCGTGCGAGGTTTAGGGTTTAGGGTTTAGGGTTTAGGGTTTAGGGTTTAGGGTTTAGGGTTTAGGGTTTAGGGTTTAGGGTTTAGGGTTTAGGGTTTAGGGTTTGCGGTTTACGGTTTAGGGTTCGCCGGGTTCGGCATTCCATTCCTTGCGGGGGCAGTGCCCACGAATCCTGCTTGTCTCGACATGTTGCGAGAGCATCATGAGCATCACGACCTTGTTGTTTGTCGATGCAATCAGAAGCTTCCATAATGCTGTGCAAAGACGGCTTGCACGGGAACATCAGGAGTTTCTCCCCTTTCCCTGGCAAGTGGTGCAGAAGCTGTGTTTTATACACTGCGCCAGCCCTAACGTCTAAACCCGAAACACCCTAAAAACGCTGAACGCCGTAGTTCCTTTGCACCCTAAGCCCTACACACCCAAACCCCTCTACCCCCTAGAACCTATACCCAAAAACCCCGAAAACCCCGAAAACTCCTAAAGCCCATGAAGCCCATGAAGCCGCTAAGCCCTAACCCCCTAAACCCTAAACCCCCTAACACGCCTAACCCCTAAACTCAACCCCCAACCCTAAACCCTAAACCCCTAAACCCTTAACCCTAAACCCTGAACCCTAAACCCTAAACCCCAAACCCTAAACCCCAAACCCCAAACCCTAAACCCTAAACCCTAAACCCTAAACCCCCCCCCAAAATGTGGCCAGCCGAGGAGCCCATAAGCACGGGCCCCTGCTTGGAGCCGAAGGCCTCTGCGGCCCTCAGCAGGTGTAGGGTTTAGGGTTTAGGGTTTAGGGTTTAGGGTTTAGGGTTTAGGGTTTAGGGTTCAGAGTTTAGGGGTTTCAGGGTTTAGCGTTTGGGGGTTTCAGGGTTTCGGGATTCAGGGGTTTTAGGGTGTAGGGTTCTGGGGGAGCTTCAGGGTTCGGGGTTTAGGTTTAGGGTTCAAGTGTTTTAGGGTCCCCTAGGGTTTAGGGTTTAGGGTTTAGGGTTTAGGGTTTTAGGGTTTAGGGTTTAGAGGTTAGGGGTTAGGGGTTAGGGGTTAGGGTTTAGGGTTGGGGTTTCAGGGTTTGGGGATTGGGGTTTGGGGATTTAGGGTGTGGGGTTCCAGGGGATATGGGTTCTAGGGGATGAGGGTTTAGGGTTTAGGGTTTAGGGTTTAGGGTTTAGGGTATCAGGCGTTAGGGTTTAGGGTTTCAGGCGTGGTGTTTAGGGTTTCAGGCGTTAGGGTTTAGGGTTTCAGGGTTTAGGGTTTAGGGGTTTAAGGGGCTTTCGGGTTTCGAGCTTTGGGGTTTTTGATGTTTTGGGGAAGGGTTGGGGGCTTCAGGGGTTTGCATGTTTCTGTTGGGGGGTTCTTCCTTATAAGGGAAATAGAGGGATTCTTCTCTCTTGGGCTTAAACCACCAGCCTCATCATCTGCACCTCTTGCTTCTTCATCAAGTTGGACCTGAAAAAGCTCGCTGGGCATCAAGGGGCTAAAGGGGGGGAGGGTTAAGGTTTAGGGCTTCGTTTGGGGTTTCGGGTTCTGGGTTCTCTAACTTAGGGTCCGTTTTGGGGTCGTTTCTGTAAACGTGCCGTGTTGTGCAAGGACCTGAAAAGGGAACTGCCCATGTGCGCTGCGCCAGCCCAGAGATGCGATGGAGATAGGGGGGGACTGGGAGGCTGGCGTGTGTGTGTGGGGGGGGGGGGGGGGTTCGGGCTAGGATTTATTTTATTTATTGTCTTTCACTTTTTCCCCTTTTTTAGGGGGGGGGGGGGGGGGGGGGGGGGGGGGGGGGGGGGGGGGGTGTCCTTTTGTAAAGGTGTTCGAGACCCTGGCATCCTTCGGGAGGACTTGTCGGGATCTGCTGATGGCCTACCCCTCTCAGCCCATCAGCCCCAAACCCTACACCCTACCTTTAGGAAAACCTAAACCCTGAACCGCAAACCCGATTTAAACCACAAACCTTCAACACAACAAAACCCCATTTTTTTGAAAATGCCGCGGAAGCGGCAGGCCCTGCTCCAGCGCGTCCATCTTCTGCCTGACAGCCAACGCTTAGGGCTTCTGGGTGAATGGTTTCGCTTAGGGTTTAGGGTTTATAGAGTCCTGTATCTAGTCTCTCCTCTCGCCCCAAAGACCGAAATTCCTCAGCCGGGGTTTGGGGTTTAGGGTTCAGGGTTTAGGGTGTGCAGAAGTCACGGCTTGAAGGCCTCTAGGCGTAGGGTTCAGGGGTTTCGGCCCGGAGCCTGAACTGAAAAGTACCTCAATCACTGCTGCACAGCAGCTGCTGCTGCTCCATCATGCGCTGGTGCTTGATCTCGAAGCGGACATAGTTGAGCCACGAGTTCACGCCTTGCGATTTGGGGCATGGGGCTAGCCTAGCCTGGGCATTGAGACTCTTTTGACGCACAGTGCCCGAAGCTGATCATAGTCACGCATGAATACAATGAATAAGGGCTTATGGGTGAACGAAGCATGAACGGCCAAGTGCTCAGGGTCTTATTGTTAGGCCGTTGGTTTCCTCGTAATCAAGGATGACTCAATTTCTGACAGACGAGGGTAGTGACAGTGAGGAAGTCATTACACCGCTCATGCTGGACGGAACTTACCTGTCAAGTAAATTTTGCTACCTTGCCCAACAAGGGAAACTTGCACATATGTCCCAGGCCTGCCAGTGGCTGGGGTTGGGGCTTAAGGTTGAGGTATGTTCTAAACGCTAAACCCCAAACCCGGTAAACCTTAAACACGGTACATCCTAAACGCTAAACCCTAAACCCTAAATCCTAAACCCTAAACCCTAAAACCCTAGCTGGGGTTTAGGGCTGTTCGGATCAGGGCTGAGGGATTCGAGAGCTAGAATGTTGAGGTCTTCATGGCACGCCCTTGCCATGAAGCAGCAGCCCTACCTCTACCTTTGGCCGCGCCAACATGCACCCCCCCCACCCCTCCCCCGACCCGTGCAGGGTTTGGGGTTGAGGGTTGAGGGTTGAGGGTTGAGGGTTGAGGGTTGAGGGTTGAGGGTTGAGGGTTGAGGGTTGAGGGTTGAGGGTTGAGGGTTGAGGGTTGAGGGTTGAGGGTTGAGGGTTGAGGGTTTAGGGCTTAGGGTTTAGGGTTACCAGGGTTTCGGGCGCAGATGTATACCCGAAGCTTCGAAAATCCTGACTCCTTCGCCACTTCCCTCCCAAACATACCTAAACCTTAAACCCCAGCCCAGGCACTGGCAGGCCCTTGGGATACAAAATAGGGGCCTTAACAATTAGAACAGGGTCTCGGGGGTTGTTATAGTATACTTATAAAGGGACCATAAGGGAATACTATTCGTAATTCTTCCGACCCCTATATTATGCAAGTCTCCTTCCTTGGGCGGAAGAGGATAAACAAATCAGAGGGCCAGCCTCGGACCCTTAGCCTTTAGCCGGGGGTGGCGGAAACAGGGTGTACCTGGGACGCTATTTACCTACAGTTTAGTAGCAACTACCATAAACCCTAAGCCCCAAACTGTACAGGTAAAGGGAGTTTTAGGTAGGGTTTGGGGTTGGGGTTTGTAGGGTTTAGGGGTTTAGGGGTTTAGGGTTTAGGGTTTTCGGGTGCGCGTTTCCCAACGCACGAACCCCAACCCGAAAAAAAAACAGCTTGACAACGCCGGGTGGCAGGTGTACAGCAGACCCCGCTGGTCGCTCAGAATGAAACCTTTGAGGGGCGCAGGGTTTGGGCTTTAGGGTTTGGGGTTTAGGGTCTTTGGATTGGGGTTCATGGTTCAGGGCTTCTCAGGACCTTTTTGGGGGAGAAGCGTTTCATGGGGTTTAGGGTTACAGTAAACCCTAGAAAGTTGGAAACCTTCTTAAGGACAAATAGTGCTGGGATTCCCTATACTTTGCTCTTAGGGATTGAGGCTATTGAGTTTCCAACTTTTTGGCTTGTACTATAGGGTTTAGGGTTCAGGGTTTGTGTCCAGTGTGCACGGTTCCAGCCTCAATCCCTACCGAGACCCCCAATTGCGCACACACGGCTAACAATATCCGCGCAAGCTTCGACACGCAGTGGAAATGCACGAAAAAAACAAATGCACAAATACATACAGACATACTTACCTACTTAATTGCTTGCTTACGTACGTACTTACTACACACAAACCCTAAACACTCAACCCTTAGACCCTGAACCCTTAACCCTTACCTTTTGAACTACTAGACCCAGGAGTAACCTAGGAATAAAAAGGGTTCCCTTTTTTGGTTTTACGGGACCCCCCAACCCTCAAGAGAGGAAATAAGGGCCTACTCCGGGTCCTAGACTATTCTTAGTTGTCCAGTAACCTTGGGGAATTCAAGGTTAACCTTTGGGATTCTAAGGGGATTCTACTACCCCAAAAAAGGTTAAAGGTTACCTACTCTACTACTAGGTGTTTATTGAAAGTCCCTTCAGTTTGGGCTCGGAGGCCATGGGATACTTTGGTTCCAGGTAAGAACTCCCCAGTCCCTTCGAAAGACACCGAGGCAAATAAAAAAAAACAACACGCTCCGTGAGCCGAAGCCTGCTTTGACTTTAGGGTTTAGGTCTAGGGTTTAGGGTTTAGGGTTTGGGGTTTGGGGTTTAGGGTTTAGGGTTTAATTAGGGTTTAGGGTTTAGGGTCTAGGGTTTAGGGTTTAGGGTGTAGGGTTTAGGGATGTATTGACTTTGAACGCTCCGCCCTTGCCGCTGGGGGGCGCATCACCGACTCCTTGACACTCCTTTGCTGCGGGTGTTGAAGACTCGAAAGCGTGAAACCCCAAAGCCCTACCCAGAGACTCCAAAACGCCTTAATTAAGGAATATACCTTAAATCATATTAGGGTTCCTATTACAAATTAAAGGATATTCCTTAATTAAGGGTTTTTGGAGTCTCTGGGTAACTCCCAACCCCTAAACCCTAAACCCTAAATTAGGCCCTATCATCCACATAATCAACCCCATATAGGGCCTTCTTAACGGGTTCTAGGGTAGAATAGCCCGTCCTGGAAAGCCAGACAACCTATGCCCTCAACCAAAAGAACCTAAACCTCGACCCTAGAACAAGTTATGCCAGCGTAGACCCCAAACATGCCACATGGGGACACGTAGAGCTTCATGGGTGACGAAAGGACGTTGTTTTCTCAAGATGTATGTTTTATGATTGGAAATGTAGGTTTCCCTCAAAAGCGTATGCCCCCTTTTGCGCCAGTGTACGAAATTTTGGTTGAACATGTAAGCTTGTTGCCCCACAAAGTGTGAGGTGTTTAGTGTTTTTCCTCGTAGTTTCTGGCTCTTGGTTGAAAATGCAGCAAATCTACGGTCTTGTCAGAAAACAGCCTTGTCCTTTGCTGCTTGCATCTTAATCTTCGGAAAGGGTTCTCGAACTCTAAGAGAGGGGGAGAATTATACACGTGCGTATGTTATTCTAGGGCTTTTTGGTGGGTTTGCGGATCTTAAGCCCTAAACCCTAAACCCTAAACCTAAACCCTAAACCCTAAACCCCAAACCCTAAACCCAAGAGGATAGGATTTGTGTTCAGCCGAGGCTCTCTTTCTGAACAGCAGCCTGCTTGACGTCGGCCACAAAGGCTTGCCAGTCCTCTTTGCCCACGCCAGCGAGCTCAGACTTTGGGCTTGGAGGTTTAGGGTTTAGGGTTTGGGGTTTAGGGCTTGGGGTTTAGGGTTTAGGGTTTAGGGTTTAGCGTTTGGGGTTTAGGGTTTGGGGTTTAGGGTTTAGGGTTTAGGGTTTGGGGTTTGGGGTTTAGGATGGTTTAGGGCTTTGGAGCTTGCGGGTTCAGGGGTTTGGTTGACTCAAGGCCGAAGCCCGAAACGGCCACGAAGTCACGAAGCCTTACGCGATTTAGAGCTTCGAACCCTGCATCCTCAACCCTCAGTGTGAAACCCTGGAACTTCGAACTTCTTGATGGGGGGGGCAGGGGGGGTGGGGGGGGGGGGGGGGGGGGAGGTGGGCGCGGCACGGCTGCTCGATTCCCGAATGGGGGGGCGGTCGGCGGGTCGGTTTCCGGGCTTTTCACGGGAGGTGTAGGGTTTAGGGTTTCTCAGGGCATAGGGCTTAGGCTTTAGGGGCTTCGGAGTTTGCACCCCTAAACCTCCAAAGCCCCTGCACAAACCCAGCTTGCCGCTCCCTGAGACCTAAACGCCCGAAGCCCCCGTATGTCGTCATTGGCATCGTCCACAACTCATGGGTGGTTGCATGGGGGGCTTGGGGTTTATGGGTTCATGGGTTTATGGGTTTAAGGTTTAGGGCTTGTGGGGTTAAGGCTTTGGGTTTAAGATTCATGGGTTTACGATCTCAGGGTTTGGGATTTTGGGTTCTTAAACAACTGAGTTTGCTAAACCCTAAACCCTAAACCCTAAACCCTAAACCCTAAACCCTAAACCCTAAACCCTAAACCCTAAACCCTAAACCCTAAACCCTAAACCCTAAGCCCTTTCAAGTCCTGGCCTGAAAGAACTGCTTCAGCAAGCCTTTTGCACCGCCCCCGAGCCACTTCTTGAGGACCATCTGTGTGGCGTGCCATGCGCGAGCCTGCCGGCAGCTTCCCTAAACCCTAAACCCTAAACCCTAAACCCTAAACCCTAAACCCTAAAACCTAAACCCTAAACCCTAAACCCTAAACCCTAAACCCCTGAACCTCTGGATTGCTTCAGGGCCTTTGGGGTGTGCACGTTGAAGAACCTACCCCCCCCCCCCAAAAAAAAAAAAAAACGCAACAAGAGCGCAACTCTTCTCCTTGAAGCCCTACTCGATTCATATATAAGGGAGGTTTTGAGATTTAATTTTGCTCATCCTATGGGCTTGTTCAGAGACATGTAGGGATGTTTTGGGAACCCTAAACCCTGAACCCTAAACCCTAAACCCTAAACCCTAAACCCTAAACCCTAAACCCTAAACCCTAAACCCTAATTTGATCAGCTGCCAAGTCAAGCTTTACCCCCTGCCTTCGCGGCATCCGCGCCATGCTGTGCCTTGCAAGGAAGCTCCCAGCAGCCGGGACAACAGGCTATGAAAACCTACCAGGTTTAGGGTTTAGGGTTTAGGGTTTAGGGTTTAGGGTTTAGGGTTTAGGGTTTAGGGTTTAGGGTTTAGGGTTTAGGGTTTAGGGTTTAGGGTTTAGGGTTTAGGGATTTACCCTCACAGGGTTGTTTAGGCTTTGGGGTTTAAAGGTTTGCGCAAGCCCAACTCCCAACACACCCAAAACCTTAGGGTTCAGGGTTCAGGGCTCAGGGTTCGGGGTTTAGGGTTTAGGGTGTAGGGTTTAGGGTTTAAGGTTTATGGTTCCTGGCTTAGGGGTTTTTAACCTTAAACAAGGACTAACAGCGCCAAGCCCAATCCGAAGGCCTAAGCACTGAGACCACCGAGTGCGCCTGCAAGATCATGCGCTCAAGCTCCGCCTCCTGCTCCTGCCAAGCCAGAGGCCGCTAGAGAACGCATCCAAGGCTTATTGGAGCTTCTGGTGTTTGGGGTTTAGGGTTTAGGGCTTAGGGTTTGGGGTTTGGGATTTGGGGTTTACGGCTATAGGCTTCTGGGTTTACACTATACAGGGGTTTCGGGGTTTGAGGTTTAAGGTCCGCCCCCAAAGCCACCCGAAGATCAGCCTGGCGCCCCTCCGTGGGTAGGGTTTAGGGTTTAGGGGTTTAGGGTTGCTAACCCCGAAGCACTACACCCCTAAACTACTGAAAAAAACACCAACACCACCACCACCCCCCCACTGTCTGCGACGTAAACATCATACCGGGGCCCTGACACAGAGGTTGTTGCTGGATAACTATAGCTCTGTATGGCTGGTAGATATAATCAAAAATCTCTGGACCTTAAAGCCAATAAACCTTAAACCCCGAAACCCTAAATCCCTACATCCTAAACCCCAGCCCTAAACCCAAAACCCAAAACCCAAAACCCTAAACCCTAGCCCCAAGCCCCAAGCCCTAAGCCCTAAGCCCTAAACCCTAAACCCCCAATGGTCCGGGTAAAATACCCGTGCCGCCTCGCGGGACTTTGCCAGCTTCAGCTCGGCCTGGAAAAAGGGTTCGGTGGGCTTCGAGGTTGCTTTGAGGGTTCAGGGCTTAGGGTTTTAGGGTTTAGGGGTTTAGGGTTTAGGGTCAAGGGTTTGGGGTTGAAGAGGCTGCTTGGGCTTCAGTTGCTTTCTGTTGCTACGTTCACTGTTTTGTGTATTTGCAAGTGGTTTGTTGTGCTTCTTCTTCTTTTTCTTCTTCTTCATCTTCTTCTTGAAACAAAGCTCCACGGGCTTTCGTTTTTCAGCTTACAACTCGTTTGGCTAAAATCTCCCGCTTTTCCCGATCTCTAGTGGCTCCAGGATATATCCCTAAACCCTAAGCCCTCACCCCTAAACCCTAACCCCTGGACCCCAAACCCGAAGGTCTGGGCACTGGATGGATGGAACTCCCGCTTATGGTCTCGAGCTCAGAGGGCCTTAGAGGGCCTTTGCCATGTTCAACTACTACTATTGAATTCGGAACCCCAGAAAAAACACAAGATAATCTCTACATTACCCTTACAAAAGGGGGGGGGGTTCTCAAGAAAATAGTAGACTATGCCGCACAGGCAACCCAACAATGAAGCGGGTAATTCGGGTTTAGGATTTAAGGTGTAGGGTGTAGGTTTTAGGGTTTGGGGTTTAGGTTATGGGCTTAGGTCTGAGGGCATTGGGTTGAATCAGGGTTTCGGTGGGGGTCAGGGCTTAGCGTATCTTAAACGGTGTCGGGAGCCCGATACCCCAAAACCGTCCATCTGAGAACTTCTATTCAGGTACCCCCAGGCCCTAATTCCTAAACCCTAAACCCTAAACCCTACACTCAAAGGGGTCAAGAAAGGGCACCAACGGACTTACAATGTTTCAAGGCAGCAGCCTCCTTCGCATCGGCTTCCCGCTTCCTCTCATTCTTCTCGTCCTTTGTGAGCATGTGCCTGAGTGTACAGAGACCAATATGAAGTAGGGTTTATATTTCTTGTATCCCCAAAAGGCCACCAAGTATATACACTCACCAATATTAAAAAGGAACCTTGTATACACTCACCAATAACATAATATATACCCTGCTTCATATAGGGTTTAGGGTCTAGGGCTTAGGGCGTAGGGTTTTGGGATGACTCCTGTCATGATCACTCGAAGGCGAAAATTCGCAGAGTTGGAAGAGTTTGGAGTGGATTTATTGACAGGTGGATTACTTAGATAGTTCGTGCCTGGTGTGCATTGGTCTTGTTGATTGACTTTCGTTTGTTGAGAGGAAAGATTCGGGTTCTAGGGGCCTCCTGGGCATACTGAGATACCCTAAAAGCCTAAACCCTAAATAGATAATAAGACAAAATTTGGGCTTCAAGAACCCTAAGCAAAATTATACCATCTCTATATATATATATATACATATATACCCTTTCTGAAGAACCATGGTACACATGATGTGTGTAGATGTTCCTGGGAGTTCTACTCAAAAACACATGCAAGACATGTACTTCTTCAGCAGACTCTGCCCACCCTAAACTAAACCCTAAACGCTAAGCCCCTAAACCCCTAAACTCCTGAACCCCTGAACCCCTAAAGCCTAAACCCGAAACCCCTAAACCCCTAAACCCCTCAACCCTAAACCCTAAACCCTAAACCCTAAACCCTAAACCCTAAACCAGAGATGAGGGATGACTCGTGGTGCAATGCCTTGTTCGTAGCAGAATCTTCGACCGACAGCCTGCGCAAGCTTCACTACTACGTGCTTAAGACGCCCCCCCCCAAAAAAAAAACAAGAAACAATAAGTATTTAAAAAATAAAATAACTAATGAAAAAATGAATATAAATATATATATACATATGCAAAGAATTCTTCCTTATAATTAAGGGTAATACAGGGATTGTGGTCTTGTATTTCTTGGGGATTCTTCAGCAAAGAGTAGTTCTCGCAGTTCTCTTGCGTCGTCCAACTCTTCCCCAGGGTACATTTCGCCGATGGCGTTGCTGCTATTCAGATTCGAGGACTCAAAACCCCAAACCCTAAACCCTAAGCCCTAAACCCCAAACCCTAAACCTCAAACCCTAAACCCTAAGCCCTAAACCCCAAACCCTAAACCCCAAACCCTAAACCCTAAACCCTAAACCGGCTGAGCTAGCCAAGCCGCCAGTTGATCAAGGCGTTCTTGCACGCTCCTTTGGCCTCGGTGGAGGCCTCCCTGAAACTTCAAGCAATCCCTAGAATAAGGTTTAGGGTTTAGGGTTTAGGGTTTAGGGTTTAGGGTTTGGGGTTTAGGGTTTAGGGTTTAGGGTTTAGGGTTTAGGGTTTAGGGTTTAGGGTTTAGGGTTTAGGGTTTAGGGTTTAGGGTTTAGGGTTTAGGGTTTAGGGTTAGGTTTAGGGTTTAGGGTTTAGGGTTTAGGGTTTAGGGTTTAGGGTTTAGGGTTTAGGGTTTAGGGTTTAGGGTTTAGGTAGAATAAGTCTAGGGTGCAGGGTTTAGGGTTTCGGGTTCCGGGCTTAGGGTTTAAGGTTTAGGGCACTAGAAGACTGCCAGCCCTTTTCACCAACCTCCCCCCCCCCCCCCTCCTCCCCCCAAAAAAGAAAGAAAAGAACAACAACGTGACCCTCACTCCCGGAAGCCCCAGAAGCCCAGATCCATCCCCCCCACCCCGCCCAGCTGGGCAGAAGGCCTCGCCCAGAAGTGCTTTGGTCAAGGCGGCGTGGACTGCCTGGCAGGGTGGTGAGGTTTGTCTCTGTGTGTGTGTGTATTACGTACAGACAGACAGTCAGACGGACAGACAGACAGAAGGGCAGACATACTTACAGATGTAGACAGACAGATAGATCGGTAGATAGATAGATAGCGTATGACACATGCATGAATACCTACATGCCTACATGCACACGCATACACATTAACATATACATATGCACGTACATGTACGTGTGTATACATATGTATATATATATATATGCATACATCTAATATATATATATATATATCCCGCAGGAATGAAGCAGCGCAAACGGTCTTAGGTTTCTTTCCGGATTTGGGGTTCAAGTTAGGGTTTCGGGCTCATTCTTTCGCCTTGGGGGCTCTGGGTTTAGGGCGAAGAGGGTTATGACAAGAAAGGGTGCAACTACGGCCCCTAAACCCCCTGAACCCTAAACCCTAAAAAAATATAATTGGAGGGCTACCGGATCTTGTAGACTTCGCCAGTCGGATGGCCTTCGCGCCGGCACCCTCGGGCCATAAACCCAAAACCCTTAGGGGTTACGGTTTCGGATCTAGGGTTTAGGGTTTAGGGTTTAGGGTTTAGGGTTTAGGGTTTAGGGTTTAGGGTTTAGGGTTTAGGGTTTAGGGCTTAGGGCTTAGGGTTTAGGGTTTAGGGTTTAGGGCTTAGGGTCTCGATAGACCGTGAAGCCATGCATGAAAGAGCCTGGTTCTTCCGCCCCTTCCGCTTGGAGTCCATGGTGTAGCCTTGGACCATGGTCTCGCAACCCTAAACCCTAAACCCTAAACCCTAAACCTTAAACCCTAAACCCTAAACCCTAAACCATAAACCCTAAACCCTAAACCCTAAACCCTAAACCCTAAACCCTAAACCCTAAACCCTAAACCCTAAAACCCAAACCCTCAACCCCTACACTCCAGAACCGCCAAAAAACCCTAAACCTAAACCCCTGAAGGCCTATAAACCCTGAACCCCTAAACCCCTAAACCCTTGAACCTCCAGACCCTGGCGCAACCCTAAACCCTGAACCCTAAACCCCTCAACCCCTAAACCCCTAAACCTCTACACCCTAAACCGGCATCTATACCGGTATAGGCACGGGAGCCGGGATTGCAGCTGGGGATTCGGGCACAAGTGCTTGCGAGGTGTACGGGTTTAAGGTTGGGGGTTTAGGGTTTAGGATTTAGGGTTTAGGGTTTAGGGTTCAGGTTTTAGGGCTTAGAACTTGTTGAGGCTTGAGGGTGTGTTGGGGGCGTTGCTTTTCGGATTTGCTTAGGGTTGGAGGTGTTTTAGGGTGGGGGTTTAGGTTACAACATATGTAACAGAGACCCTAGACCCAAAACCCCAAACCCTAAACACTAAACTCCAAACCCCAAACCCTACACCCGAAACCCCAAACCCTAAACCCTAAACCCCAAACCCTACACCCTAAACCCCAAACCCTAAACCCCAAACAGGCTGGATCCTGCAGTCTGGTGGCCGTGCCAGCCTCGGAAGACGCCGGTCATGGCGCCTTGGGAAGGTTAGCATCAGGGCGTTTAGGGTTTTGGGGTTTGGGGTTTAGGGTTTAGGGCTTGGGGTTCAGGGTTGAGGGTTCAGGGTTGAGGGTTCAGGGTGAATTTCTAGTATCCCCCCAAAGAGCACCAAGTATAGACAGTCACCAATATTTATGTGGGCAGCCTAAACACATTCACCAAAAACAGGAACATAAGCCCTTTCATGTGACCATTAGGGCTCATGTAGGTACAGTTTCATGGTCCATGAGTCTGGGCCCTTAAACGGTGACCCCGTATATTTCCCTTATATGCCCTACACAACCCAAGGGCCCATACTCCGGAACCCTTTAAAGAGGGTAACGGACCACATTAAGGGCCCATGCAACTTCCTTTAGAAAGTTTAGGGCTAATGGGTTCATAGCTCTCGAAAGTATGGTCCCTAAACAAGAGGGCCGCCTGATCACAAGGACCCCAGAAAAGACCATTTTTTTAATAGAGGTGGCCATTTAGGAGTTTAGGGTTCAGGGCTTGTGTAAGAGCTTAGGGTGTAGGGCTTTTAGCGAAGGTTCGGGCTTCGGGTTCATGAGAGTTTAGGGTTCAGCGTTTATGTAGGAGTTTAGGTCGAAGTCAAGCTGAGGGTCCGGGGCTTATAGCGAAGTTTTGGGTTTGCGGTTATAGATACAAGCTTTACGTTTGGAGTTGGGTCAAGAGAGTGCTCAGGGTTCAGGCTATTGATTCTAAGGTTCCCTAAACTTCAACCCTACGTAGGCGGTAAAGCCTTTAACCCTGAACTTCTGGCGCTTAACAAACGGCTTAGGGTGCAAGGGCGCTCGGTCCTGCATTGCAACCTGCACTTTGGACTCTGAACCCTAAACCCTAAACCCTAAACCCTAAACCCCAAACCCCAAACCCTAAACCCTAAACCCTAACCCTAAACCCTAAACCCCAAACCCTAAACCCTAAACCCTAAACCCTAACCCCAAACCCTAAACCCCAAACCCTAAACCCTAAACCCTACAGAAAGGGCTATGGGCCTTCTTGTCGGGTGCGAGCATTAAGCCGGGTGCGCCTAGCTTGATATCGCGCGTGTAGTATGGCTTATCGGGCTTCGGGTTGTAGAAGCTTGTAAGCAAGAGCATGCTGAGACAAGCCGGTCGCCATAAGCCTTTCTTCTAAATATGACCTCTTGAACCCCATAAGGGCAAATAGCAAAACAGCCCAAGGGCCTGAATTTAGTCTATACACAGCTGCCCCTGAACCTTCAAACACCGTAAACCCTAAACCCCCTAAACCCTAATATCCAAACCCCAAACCCCAAACCCCAAACCCCAAACCCCAAACCCCAAACCCTAAACACTAAACCCTAAACCCTAAACCCTAAACCCTAAACCCTGAACCCTGAACCCTGAACCCTGAACCCTGAACCTCTTTTGCGGGGCGCCTTTCCGATTCCCTCCTGCCCACTTGGCAGCGATGTACTCGATCTGCCTGCGTCTTCACGGCTTCGAAACTCGAAGCCCCGAATCCCGAAACCCAGTGCCCTGAACCCTCAGAACCAGATACCAAGCCTGAGCTCTAGAGAGGTTTAGGGTTTAGGGTTTAGGGCCGGGTTTAGGGTACCAAGCCTGTGAATTTTCAGTTGGCCTGGCTCAGCGTATGTGATGAGCATCCCAGGAACCCCAAGCGAGCTTGTTGGGATTAGGGTTTAGGGTTTGGGGTTTGGGGTTTGGGGTTTGGGGTTTGGGGTTTGGGGTTTGGGGGTTTGGGGGTTTGGGGGTTTGGGGTTTGGGGCTTGGGGTTTGGGGTTTGGGGTTTGGGGTTTGGGGTTTGGGGTTTGGGGTTTGGGGTTTGGGGTCAATCTTTGCTGCTTTCTGTCAGAAAGGGGCAGACAAAACGCCCAGGATATTCGGGCTTAGGGCCTAGGATCTTAGGCGATCGCTGCTGTTGCCTCACCCTAAACCCCAACCCAGGGTTGAAGAATTCGGAATTAGGGTTTAGGGTTTAGGGTTCAGGGTTTAGGGTTTAGGGTTAGTTTGGCCAAACACCACGTCGCCACGCTCAGAATGTCTTTGGTCGAACACATTCCCTCCATCTTTGGGGCGTCATAGCAGGGCTTCAATAATTGGAAAAGGGATTTTGGAGCACCACTAGAGTCTAACTATATAGGGACCCAAGGGAACTCTACAAGTAATTAAACTCCGACCCCTTTTCTGATAGAGTCCCTAAACCCTAAACCTTGAACCGTTAACCCTAAACCCTCAACCCAAACCCTAAGCCCTAAACCCTAAACTTCGGATTGCAAATGCACCACATCTCCGGGTCCAGGCAAGGCTTGTTTGGGTGGCTGTGGCCTCTCGGCCCTTATGTGATCAGATACGTTTTCCCTTTCGAGTCCAAGCCTCCACCTCGCTGTTTAGGGTTAAAGGTTTAGAGTTTAGGGCTCAGGGTTTCCGGTGAACTCTTGCAGGTCGAAACGCCTCCGCCTACCGGTTCTGCAGGCGAGGTAACCGGTGCAAGCGCAACTCTGTACCCGAGCGCTGAGAAAAGCGCAGAGCGGGAAACTGGTGCTCAGCAAGCGCAGGTTGTCGGTGCCCGCCGAACATTGTATTCTCCCAGCCTCATCTTTATAGGAACCCCACATACTACCACCCTCGGTGCACACATCGACGTTGAAGCTAAACAACTAAACCCTAAACCCTAAACCCTAAACCCTAAACCCTAAACCCTAAACCCTAAACCCTAAACCCTAAACCCTAAACCCTAAACCCTAAACCCTAAACCCTAAACCCTAAACCCTAAACCCTGGGCCTGTGGGCGGCTGCCTTCTTGTCCGCGAGGATCTGGGCAGCAGACTTGTGGAGCTCATCGTTCTTCCTGGTGCCCCGCTTGGGCTGAAGTAGGGTTTAGGGCTTGGGGTTTAGGGTTTAGGTTTTTTGGGGTTTGGGGTTTGGGGTTTGGGGTTTGGGGTTTGCGGTTTGCGGGTTGGGGGTAGGAAGAAGCAGCGTTGGACTTACACTCAGGTTTTCCCGTCCCATCCATCAGCGACACTGGGGTCGCTACACAGCAGCAGGACCCAGAAAGCCATAAATACCCCCCTAAAGATCATATGTATGATCCTAAACCCTGCGCCCTAAACCCTAAACCCTAAACCCTAAACCCTAAACCCTAAACCCTAAACCCTAAACCCTAAACCCCAAAGGTTTAGAGGGGTCCGGGGTCTCGGGCCTTGGGCTTAGGGTGCATGGTTTATAGACCCTATGCTGCCTGCAACCCATCTATTAAAAAGGTTGGCTCAGTGAGGTTTCGTGGAGGCTTCAACTTGGCTGAGCTGGGGCTTCTCGCGGCACTCTTTGATGATGCCCCAGGGTTTAGGGTTTAGGGTTTAGGGTTTAGGGTTTAGGGTTTAGGGTTTAGGGTTTAGGGTTTAGGGTTTAGGGTTTAGGGAGCTCGGGCCCTCAACTGCTTCACCCCCCAAAAGCCCTAAAACACCCCAAACTCGTCAAACTCCGACACAACCCGAAACTATCAGCCCCTCAGCTCCCAAAGCCCCATTAAACTCTCGCCCCTAAACTCCAAACCCTACCCTAAACCCCTTAAACTCCAAACCCGAGTTCCCTAAACCCTAAACCCTAAACCCTAAACCCTAAACCCTAAACCCTAAACCCTAAACCCTAAACCCTAAACCCTAAACCCTAAACCCCGAAATAGCCTAACACCTTCAACCTCCAGAATGCCGAGACCGAAGTCCCAAGCCCCAAGCATGTAACACCTGAGTCAGGCTGCGGCCTCAGGGTTTAGGGTTTAGGGTTTAGGGTTTAGGGTTTAGGGTTTAGGGTTTAGGGTTTAGGGTTTAGGGCTTACGGTTTAGGGTTTAGGGTTTAGGGTTTAGGGTTTAGGGTTTAGGGTCCACCCCACACACACACAAAAAACAAACACACACGCACACACACACACACACAAACAAACACACACGCACGACACACACACACACACACACACACACACCACACACACACACACACACACACACACACACACACACACACACACACACACACACACACACACACACACACACACACACACACACACACACACCACACACACACACACACACACACACACACACACACACACACACACACACACACACACACACACACACACACACACACACCACACACACACACACACACACACACACACACACACACACACACACACACACACACACACACACACACACACACACACACACACACACACACGCACAAATGCTCGTAATTTCATAACTTTTCGTCTGCGCTAGGGTAGCTAACTCAATCAAACCCACAGTACCGGTAGCCATCTTGCAATTAAGAGAGACAGCACGTGAAGTCTTCAAGGGTTGAGGGGTTTAGGGTTTAGCTTGGGTGAGTAGGGTCGGGGGCTCAGGGTTTTACGGCTTAGGACCCTAAACCCTAAAACCTAAACCCCAAACCCTAAACAACCCTAAACCCTAAACCCTAAACCCCAAACCCTAAACCCTAAACCCTAAACCCTAAGCCCTCTTCTCCGGCCTCTGCTCATCCGCAAGGAGCAGCTGAAGCTTCTGAGCCTCTGCGTTCGCAGCATCCCGGGCCTGATTTAATGATAGGGGCGCCTTTTTGTGTCTAGGGTTTCGGCGTTGGACCCTAAACCCTAAACCCTAAACCCTAAACCCTAAACCCTAAACCCTAAACCCTAAACCCTCGAGTTTAGGGCTGAGGGCTCAGGGCTCAACGGGACGGGTGGGGAACACAGGGGCTTCAGGGCTTAGGACTTTCTACGATCCTCTGGGGCTTTAGAGGCTTTGAAGGTTCAACGATCCATCTTTCAGCCTAAACTGAACCACATGATTGCCACTACCAAGCGTTAAGGGTTTAGGGTTTAGGGTTTAGGGTTTAGGGTTTAGGGTTTAGGGCTGACCGTATCGTCCTGTAACAGAAGCCCTGAGGCTGGGTGGTGGCACCGCGAGCACCGCGGCGCCCCAAACGTACGCTGCCCTTGGAGCTCGAAGCGACTGCGTGCACCGCTGCTCTGGCGACAAGGCTGAGCCTGCTTGCACATTGTAACGATTGTGCACCTGTGCGCAATGCGGAAGCAGGTACACCAACCCCATGCGGTTCATGCACCCAGTCTTCGCAGATGAGGGAGGCGGTCGAACTTTGTTGTTTCAACAAATAGAAGCCAAAGTTCAGTTTGGCTTGAATTTTATTGCAGGTAATTCAACTTTGGAGGCTTAAGGGCCGTTTAGGGTGTGTTTAGGGTTTCGGGTTTAGGGTCAAGCGGGTTAAGGGTTAGGGCGGGGTTCGTGTTGATCTTAGTCATGACTATCTGCCCAGCGTTATCAGACGCTGCGGCAGCAGTGACATCACAAAACACCATGGTGGATCGCTCTCTGTTCCTTCCTTGCTGAAGACAGGGCTCACTTCAATCCCAGACGTACTATAAAACCCTATGAACCCTGCAACCCCTGAACCCTAACGCCCTCAAACCGTAGAATGAAATAAAAAACCCTAAACCCTAAACCCTCTCAACCCTTAACCCTATAAACCCTAAAAGCCCAAAAACGCTCCACAGGGCGCCTGCCGGGTCACGCGGCTTTGTTGGGCGTCCGCCTTCCAGGCCAGCCAGACGCCTCTGCAGGGTTAGGGTTTAGGGTTAGGGTCACTGACCCAGCAGTTCCAGGCTTAGGAACAAGCCCACCCACCCAAAGAATCCCATAACATTCAGAAATATACAGTTCACTCAACAACGGTGCCGACGCACCAAAAAGTGCTCAAGAACGGTGCCGACTGCACCAAAAAGTGCTCAGCAACGGAAGTAAACGCACCAAAAAGTGCTCGAGAACGGTGCCGACGCACCAACGAGTGCTCAAGAACGGTGCCACTGCACCAAAAAGTGCTCAAGAACGGTGCCGATTGCACCAAAAAGTGCTCAACAACGGGGGGTAAACGCACCAAAAAGTTAACAGGGATTAAATCTATAAGGAGGGTTTAGGGTTTAGGGTTTAGGGTTTAGGGGTTTAGGGGTTTAGGGGTTTAGGGGTTTGGGGTTTAGGGGTTTAGGGGTTTAGGGGTTTAGGGGTTTAGGGGTTTAGGGGTTAGGGTTTAGGGTTTAGGGTCTAGGATGGCCCCTAGGATGGCCTTTTAAGACCCTCTGAGAAATAATTTCCTGATTAGGGTTTAGGGTGAACGGTTCAGGGTTTGGGGTTTAGGGTCTGGGGTTTAGGGTTTGGGGTTTAGGGTTTGGGGTTTGGGGTCTGGGGTTTAGGGTTTAGGGGCAAAAAGTATTCCTGAATATAGTCCTCTTAAACCCAATCAGGGAAACATTCTAAATATGATGCTCTCTTAAACCCAATACGGGAAACTAAAAAATGTTCCAAGGGCCTACCGAGAGCTGGGTTTAGGGGCTTAGGGTTTAGGGGGTTTAGGGTTTAAGGATTTAGGTTAAGATTTAGGGCCCTAGTAGGGTTAGGGTGTTAGGTTTAGGACTTCGGGTCTATAGGGCTTTAGGGTTTAGGGGCTGAGGGGTCTAGGGTTTAGGACTTAGGGTTTTTTTGGATTGTGGTTTTAGGGGTTAGAGGTTTAATCGGGTTAGGGTTGATGGCTTAGGGTTCAGGATGTTAGGAGGGAAGGGCGGCAGGGGCAGAGGTAGGTGGAGGGGGGGAAGGGGGGGAAGGGGAACCGTAAATCCTAAACCCTACACCCTAGAAGTAGATCCCTAAGACCCTGAACCTTAAAACCTAGACTTAGACCCTAAAAATGAGGTAACAGCGCCTGTAATGCACCTTGTGTTTGTTGCATATAGCTTGTTGTTGCACGTTGCCAATACCCTGGGACCTGGGAAAATGCACTATTTACGGCAAAGTGCATCAAGCAGAAGGGCACAAATCCCTGAATCAGACCATTTCTTCTGAAGGTTTACTATGCTAAAACCCGCTGCCAGTGTTGCCATCATACTTCCACCACAAGCCCTCTATCACCGCGTCCCTCTCCCCAACTGGCCTGGCCGTCTCCCCCGCAACCCCCTGGCCCCCCTGGCCCTTTACGCTTGTGACAACGCGTCTTGTTCCGCATCCTTGCGCAGTATGTTGTACAAAGAGGCAAGAACGCTGCAAATACCAGTGTTTGTGGCATGGTCGCCAAAGGCATGGATGCTTGTGACGACGTGTCTTGCTCCACATCCTTGCGAAGTATGTTGTACAAGGAAGCGAAATTTGGGCATGGCATGGCCGCAACATGAATGCACCCCCACCCCCCACCCCCCACCCCTCCCCAACCCCCCCACCCCACCCCCCCCCACCCCCCCACCCCTCCCCACCCCCCACCCCACCCCCCCCCACCCCCCCCCACCCCCCCCCCCCCCCCCCCCCTCCCCCCCCACCCCCCGCCCCCAACCCAAACAAGAAACATAAACCATGAAACCTGAAAAGTGACCATAAATCAGCCCTGGACCCTACAGGGTCTAGGGCTTAAAGAGTGTAGGGTCTAGAGGTTCCAAGATGGCATCTTCCCGCCCAGTTAGCCGAGGCACTGCGCTTTGTGCCCTTGGCATCTCCCTCCATCCACCTCCAAGCTTGGGGTTAGGATCTCAGGTTTAGGGTTTATAGGGTCCAGAGGGTTAGGGGTTTCGGGTTTGACGTGTTTAGGGGGTTTAGGGTGTTTAAAGTGCTGGGTTTAGGGGTTTAGGGTTTCAAGGGGTTAGGGCTTAGGGCCTAGGGTTTAAAGGGCTGAGGGGTTTTAAAGGGTTTGGGATTAAAAGGGGCAGGTCTACACAAACCTTCAAGTCACGGGTTTGTAGTTTAGCCCTTCCTCTGCCTGCACGAATACCAAGCTCCTTTGAGCACTCTACGGTCCAAACCCTAAACTCTAAATCCTAAACCCTGAACCTAAATCCAAACCCTAACCCTAACCCCTAAACCCTGCAGTTGCAACCTGTAACAGATCCTGACCAGAGCCTGACCTCGACAGAACACGACGCTTTGAACAACACCGGCAGTTGCGTCGCTTGAAAACACATGGACCGCAACCCCTAAACCCTAAACCCGAAACCCTAAACCCTAAACCCTGTACCCTAAAGTCTAAACCCTAAACCCTAAACCCTAAGCCCTAAACCCTAAACCCTTACCCTAAACCCTAAACCTAATCCCATAAAGCCCTGTCAGCAACTCCGTCAACCCGGCTCTAAACAAGTTTGGGATCAGCGTTGGTGCTTGCAACCCTGAAGACAAATATTCATGAACGTTCAAGTACGGCTTTGGAGGTCTTGGGGCAGAGTAGGGCAACTCGGGTTTGAAGGTACATTCCTAGTGGAAGTGAAAGGAGGGTTGAGGGTGTTGGGTTCAGGGTTTTGGGTGTTTAGGAATTCTAAATTTAGGCTTATGAAGAACCTGAGCTGGCAACTGAATCCCTTGTTGGGAACTGCTGGGCTTTCCTAAACCCCTAAACCCTAACCCCTAAACCCTAAACCCTAAACCCTTTTGTCTAATGCTATTTTTGGGAACTCACAATCTGATGTTTCGGAGTGTCGGCACAGAGTCTGGTCCAAGCCGCTTCTCGAGCTGCAGCTGTATGGCCTGAGCTGCGTCGACTCTGGCATCATCCTACACCCGGGTAGCCCTAAACCCTAACCCTAAACCCAAAACCCTAAACTGGCCCTAAACCCTAAACCCTAAACCCTAAACCTTTTGCACCCTAAACCGTTCAAACCCCAAACCACAAGAGGTCCTGAAGATGCGTGGTTTGCTAACCCTTCTGGGTCTTTCAACATTGGATGCCTGCCTCATAGAATCTTAGGGCAGTTACCTAGTCCCTGGGCTCGGGTTTAGGGTTTAGGGTTTAGGGTTTGGGGTTTGGGGTTTGGGGTTTAGGGCTTGGGGTTTCGGGTTCTAAGGGTAGTTACATGGTCCCTGGGTATGGGCAGTTCAAAGGGACCTCTAGTAGACCCCTTATATACCCTATACAAGTGAAGGGCCCATACATCAGAACCCGTTAAAGGAGGGAAGGGACGATATTCAGTGACCTAAACCCTAAACCCTAAACCCTAAACCCTAAACCCTAAACCCTAAACCCTAAACCCTAAACCCTAAACCCTAAACCCTAAACCCTAAACCCTAAACTTCTCTTGGATAGGAAGCGAGAACGAATCCAAGGCCCATGCCGTTACCAACGGCTATCTCCTGGTAAAACCATATGTCAAGGGCTTAGCGTTAGAGTTAGGGTTTAGGGTTTATCGTTAGGCCGTCTATACTAACTGAATGCTATTCTCTAAAAAAATTGGGCCACTCAGCATAAATAGGCCCATACAGCTCGCATGAGTCCCTTCTCACACGAACGCGAGCAACAAGTTTGGGCATCTCGAAGATGGGCTGCAAGGGGTGGTTTAGGTTTCAGGGTTTAGGGGTTTAGGGTTTAGGGTTTAGGGTTTAGGAATTGGGATTAGGGATTAGGGATTAGGGATTAGGTACTGGGGTTTAGGGTTTAGGGTTTAGGGTTCAGGGTTTAGGGTTTAGGGTTTAGGGCTTAGGCTTTAGGGTTTAGGGCCTGGGGCTTAGGGCTTAGGGTTTAGGGTTGGCTGCAGGTCCTGGCTTGTAGCCACATAGCCACAGCAGTAACTTCGCTCTTCCAAAACCAACGAACCCTCGGAACACCCTATTTGCTTAAGAACCCCCAAAAAACCAACCTAGTTGTCCAGTAACCTGGGGGAAGTAAAGGTTAACCTTTGGGATTATAAGGGGATTATACTAACCCAAAAAGGTTAAAGGTTTCCTACTCTACTACTAGGAAAACAAGAGAATCTTCCTTATAAGGGTAATCTAGTATCTAAGGATTATTATCTTTTTTCTGGGGGTTCTTGAGCAAATAGTAGTAGACCCTCAAATCTTCATCACCAACGTGAACGCTCTCAGTTGTGCAGTGGCGCCTTGTGTCGCTTGTCCCGGCTGGAGGTCTCCTACGGCGGAACACAGACTAGGTTGAGGGCCTCACGGCTTGGGGGTGTACCACGAACCCAAAGCCCTAAACCCTAAACCCTAAGGTTCAAGAGTTGAAGGGCTTCATGGTGTCGAGGTTTGCGCTTAAGTCACCCAAAGCCCGACAACCTCAAGCTACTTAAGTTACTTAAACCACATCATCCATAGTAGCATGAATAACAAAGTAGAGTAAAAAAGACATCATAGTAACTCATAGTTGGCAATAGGTGGTAATCGGCGACTCGTACAGTACTCAGGAAAAGAAAAAGTCTAGTAATAACAACAATAATAACAATAATCATAATGAAAATAATACTAGTACTACTCCTGGTAGTAAAAATAATAACAACAATAATAAGAATAACAATAATCATCATCATTGCAATGATATAGGTTTAACAACAGTGATGAGAATGGTGATACTCGCAAGAAAACACAAGATCTCACCGCCTGGAGGGCCAAGCATTCCGCCATAACTTTCGTTTCTTTGACAAGCTAGACTAGTCTAGAGGGCGCGCTTCATCGTGTGGACCGCGCGCGATGTGTAGTCGACAAAGCTACGCATGCAGGGTAGTTTAGGGTTTAGGGTTCACGAGTTTAGGGTTTGAACCCTAAACGCAAAGCAAACACCCACTGGACAAGAACATGGGTCAACGTGCAGCTTCACCTCAAGCAAGGCAACCTGAATGTGCCGAAACGACTTGCGCCCCCAGCCCCCTAGTTTAAGGCTTACTTGGAGGATCAGGGTAATTAAAACCCCAACGATAACGGCACACTTATTATAAGCCCCCTAAGTCCCCTTAGTCCTCTAAGCAGGTTGCAAGTAGACTTATAATTGGGAATCTAAGTACCCTCTGAACCTCCAAGTAGGGCTTAGGGTTCACGGTTCAGGGTTCCATAAAGGTTAATACCTGAAGCCGAAACTGGTTTAGGGTTTACTCATGCCGAAATCAGGGGTTGGGGCACAATCCAAGTAACAAACACAATCATCAAACCTGGTCCCCTAACTGTATATGCATATATATATATATATATGTCTTCATTTGTTTTTCGATGCGTATGTATTTACATTTACATTATGTTTATGTCGAAATGTAGATTAAGAATTAGCGATATATCTATATGTTTATTGATTTATATGTTTATTCATGTATGCATGTGATTGCGTGCGCACATGTATGTTTTACATGTAAGTGTCCTTGGAGTACGTGGCCCAGTGCTTCCACGCCAGAGAGACCGCGCCCTTCAGGAGTGCTTTCAGTGGGGGGCAAGGATCGTGAAAACCCTAAACCCTAAAACCTATATAAGCCCTAAACAGTAAACCCTAAGCCCTAAACCCTAAGCCCTAAACCCTAAGCCCTAAACCCTAAACCCTAAATCCTAAACCCTAAACCCTAAATCCTAAACCCTAAACCCTAAGCCCTAAGCCCTAAGCCCTAAGCCCTAAGCCCTAAGCCCTAAGCCCTAAGCCCTAAGCCCTAAGCCCTAAGCCCTAAGCCCTAAGCCCTAAGCCCTACACAACCTTCTAAAAACGTTGTTCTGAGCAACGTCCAGGGTTCGGAGGCCAGAGGCCTAGGACCTGCAAAGCACTCCTGAATCCTAACCCCGAACTCGGGCCAGAAAGCCCGAAACTGTGATGTTGGCTTTAGGGTTTAGGGTTTAGGGTTTAGGGTTTAGGGTTTAGGGTTTAGGGTTTAGGGTTTAGGGTTTAGGGTTTAGGGTTTAGGGTTCCTGGACACTGAGCCCTGAACCCGGAACCCTAAACACCCAAGCCTGAAGCATGAAACCTGAACCAAGGGTTTAGGGTTTAGGGTTTAGGGTTGAGGGTTGAGGGTTGAGGGTTTAGGGTTTAGGGTTCAGAGTTTAGGGTTTAGGCTTCAGAAGGTTTAGGGTTTGCCCCTAAAAGGCCTTGTCCTTGCCTTTCGCCCAGGTGGCCAGGACGGCTTCTACGCCGCTGACTCGATCTTTCCGCCTGCCCTCGATCTCCTTCAGAGAACCCCTAGACGGATCTGGGGTTTAGGGTTTAGGGTTTAGGGTTTAGGGTTTAGGGTTTAGGGTTTAGGGTTTAGGGTTTAGGGTTTAGGGTTTAGGGTTTAGGGTTTAGGGTTACGAATTTAATTAACCAGTTCTCTTGGGGGTTTAATGGGGTATAAAGCGGGGGTACAAAGGGGCATCAGGGGGGTATGAGGGGGGAGGACTACACAGGGCTTCTGTATACTTATCTCTAAGTCATGATCCTTTCTTGGAGGCCCTAAACCCCAAATCCTAGCCCCTAAACCCTAAACCTCTGAACCCCTAAACCCCTAAGCCCACAGCCTAACCACGGCCGACTTCCAGACTCTACAGACACGATCACTGCATCTAACCCTGCCTTGAGGAGCAACATTTTTGATCACGTCTCAGATCCCTGAGCCCTAACCCTACAAAGCCTTAAACCCTAAACCCTAAACTACCCTAAGATGGCCCTAAACCCAAAACCAGCTGATTCACTATGGAATCAGCCAGCACGCGGATGTTCCGTGCCGACATTGCCTTGTACCCCTCGCCCGTGTTTTTTGTGTGCTAGAACCCAGAACAACCTAGGAAAAAATGTG